GTTAGGCGGCTGGGGAACCGTTCGCATCTTTTAATCGGCCAGGAAAGCGGGTCCAGGGATGCTTGGTGTGGGCTGGTGCGTTGTCATGGCGGTTTCCTTTCGTCCGCGATGTCTGATCGGACACGTTGAACCCTTCATTTGAGTCTATTGAGCACTTCCACATAGAATTGGGCATTAATGCTTATACCTTGTAGTACGAATTCACGGCGGACAAGCCCCTGATGTCAGTAAGCACTGTGACTTACTCATTCTGGTCTTCTTGGCGTTAAACGACGTCGAGGTGGGCCACTCAGTACCTTGCGTTTTTGTTTCGGGATTGTACTCAAAGACCCAAGACCCATCACCTGTGATGACATTGTCTAAAAGTGGGGGTCACTTTCACACAAGTCCCAAAGTTCCTGGCACGTTTAACCTCGGCGCAATGTTTGGTCGTCCGCTAGCACTGGGTGCCAGCTTCGCGCACACTTTTCTCATCTGCACATTGTTCGTCACGACCTCGTTAACAGTAGTTTTTGACTTGCTTAATGCCTGTGCCAATAAACTAGCAATCAAACGACTGCCGGAGTTCAGCAATTTAGTCACACGCGTCACCTGTTCGTCGGTGGTTGTCGTTGTTGACCTTTCAGTGCGGACTTCACCGCTGACCTCTTCACGATCTTCAAAGAAGACTTGTGTCACCGGTAGAATTGCCGTTCCGATAATCAGTCATCACCAGAGACCGCCTTTATTATGGGAAACCTTTTCACTTTAGACGCCGTTGTGCACAAAACTTGATGGCAATCCTTTGCTCCATCGAGCGCTTCATCACAGCTTGCACAGGGGGGGGGGGCGAACACGAGTCTCACGAAAATGACCGTCCTCACTCTGCGGATGGTCGCAGACGACTGAGCAATTGCACTTGCGCAAATGGTCTCCTCCTTTCGCCGACTCCAACAAGCCAAAGCGCATTGCGACACCTCTTCGTCTCACAATAGATTCACTGACATTACGTTTTGGACAAAGCCCCCGAATATTCTAAAAGCGAACAATGTGGCGGCCGTATCACTCGAAGCGGTATCATCTGTGCATTATTGTGCGGCGGGGTGAATTGGTATCTTGCTATTTGTGCATCGGGTTGTCCTCTTTATGAATTTTCATACGCTGTTATTATTGAGTGTTTTAGACAAGTGGTCTTACTCTATACGTCTCCCATTTATGTCCCGGTTGGTTTACGGACAGGTGACCTTTAAAACTGCTTTACACGAATGCAGCCATAGAGGAATCAGTCTGTTCTCCATCTCCAAATTGCTTGCTCTGTCATCCTTCACAGACTGACTGGCACTCGTGAAAGCCAGATTCGTGAAGAGCAAGCTGGATTTCGTCAAGGTCGTGGCTGCATTGACTACATCTTCACGTTGCGTCAGTTGTTGGAGCACCGTCACATATATTGGTGGCCGACCGTTGTCGTGTTCCTCGATATCAAAGGTGCATTCGACTCGGTGGATAGACATGCACTTTGGAACTGTCTACTCAGGAGAGGTGTACCTGAGAAATATGTGAATATTATCCGAGCTTTATATGCGCGTAGCTCGGGTAGAGTGAGGGCTTACGGCAAGTTGTCGTCTCCCTTTAATATCTCCAGCGGTGTGAGACAAGGATGCCCGTTGTCATGTTTCCTCTTCAACTTCGCTGTTGACGAATTCATGGAAATCACGTTTACAGGACACGACTTAGAAGGTGTGGATCTGCTCCCAGTAGAATAACTTCTTGACTTAGAGTATGCTGATGATATTGCCCTAACCTGTGACAGCTCCCAGACGTGCCAAGCGGCACTGGAGAGATTAGCACTAGCTGTCCGTCACACCGGGCTTAGCTTCGCACTCTCGAAGTGCTAAGCTTTCCTCCATCATTGGCGTGTACCGCCTCTTTCACTGACCTTTGGTGAGGATCAACTAGAAGTCGTTTAAAAATTCAACTACCTTGGAAGTTGTATTAGCGCCCGTGGGATTGAAGATGAGATCACGAACTGTACAGCCAAAGCTCGAGGTGCTTTTGCTAACCTTCGTTACTTATGGCCTTGGCGCGACATCACTCTCGCTCTGAAGGCTAGAGTATGCAATGCAGCAGTACGTTCGACCCTGCTGTACGGTTGTGAAACCTGGCCCCTAAGATCAGCGGTCATGAAGAGGCTAGTTACGTTCGACCACCGGTTCCTTCGCAATTTAGTTCACATCTAGTGGGAGCACGGCGTGAGCAACAAGCGTGTTCGACGCCTCGTTTACGGCACAGGAAAAAGAACTGAACCGCTCAGCACCGTTAATTCACGCATCAGGCTCCGATGGCTCGGCCACGTGTTACGCATGCCAGCCCACCGACTCGCGCGACGTGCGTTGTTTGCGCGCCGGGGGTGTGGGTGAAAAAAGAGTAGGGGTGGCCAAGCGATGACTTGGTCGAGAGGAATGAAGGCCCTCACTTCTGAGTTGGCCTCGATTGGAACGTCTCGGCTCCCAGGTTGGGGTCCGAAAACGATGAACACGTTTGGCTAGATGCACTTGCTGATATGGCAAGGAGCCGACCTCAGTGGCGTTCGTGCTGTGAGTTTCTTTGTCCCACCCCATATCTCTTAGCCTCCCCTTTCATCCACGATCTCATTATTTAGCGTTATATAATTTTGCATAGTATTCTTTTTTGATGCACAGTAGCCGACTGGTAGTTTATCAGAACGATGCCCTTCTGTTACCGATAGCTCAGCCGGCTTGCACCAGTTGCATTTTTCTCTCCTTTTTTCTATATATTGCGGCACAGTAGCTGAGATGTTTCCCAGCTCTAGCTAGTGTGTACAATGATGATGATTTACACGAATCGTGCCTGGCGAACTTTTCCCTGCTAATAGTTGAAACGTCTTTTCATCATCACCTTATTATTCATTCTCCCATCTCCTTACATTCTCGATAGATCTTTGTCTTTTCTCGAGATGCTAATGTTGCTATGCGATATGTGAAGTGCTGTTTCAAGTGCATCCTACGTTTACATAACATATGCACCTGTTCGTTGTTGTGTTGGGTTGTTTTGGGGTTACTGGCGATTCTCATCATGCCAATTTTGATGACGAGGAAAATTGTTACATAGAGTCTCTCTATCTAAATTATATCACATTTTCCACTTTGTGTCACTTTACTTTGTACAAAAGAGCATGTTCAATAGCTTATGAAATTGCGTTTTTCGATTATCATACTTCGATGTTTGACGGGAGTGGATCAAAACGTTTTCGGCCCGACATAGAATGAAACCAGCTATCCAAGTCATGCTTTGTTACTATGCAACATTATCTCCCCTACGTGGAATGCAGTTAGTCCAGTGGTGTTAAATTATTGCTATGCGTCTGTGGACGAAAGTAGAAGACTGTCATTCTAAAAACTGCTCCACAGCACTGATCATCAGCAACATCGAGTTAATAGTAATGACGTTCGACGTCGCATCTTGGGGAATGCGAGTATTCCCTTCAACAAACTGGTTCTGTTGCGCCAGTTAAGATGACTCGGTCATGTCCTACGCATGGCACCTGAGCGTCTACCGCCTCGCGCTCTATTCGCTCATCAAGGATCTGGCTGGAAGCGACTGCGTGATGGTCAGTCTTCCACTTGGCGGCAGCACATGAAATCGCTGACGTTGTTTCTAGCCGCTGTTGGATCCGTACGTCTTCCAGGATGGGGACCCAAAAATGAGGAGTGCCAATGGCTTAACACTCTTGAAGACATGGCGCGCAACCGGAATCAGTGGAAGAATTGTGTACAGTATTGTATTGATTCACATGATTAATACTTCAAACATTGAAAATGACAAAAGAGAGAAAAATCGGCATGTGAAAAACCCACTAAACATGTTTTGTTTTATTTTTTGTCAAAATGTTCCATTCTTCCTGCGGCATATTAGCTGAAGTGTGTTGCTCACCTTCAACTGATATGCCACGATGATTATGTCTCTATGACTGTCCCTTATCCGCTGATCTCCATGGTTTACTGTTGGCTCTGTGTGTAGTTGTTAGACTGCTGAGATTACTTACTTACTTACTTACTCGTCAGCAAATCTGTGACTCCGGAGGTGAGATTTTCGTTTCTGAACAGATGAAAATCTGATGGGCCCATATCTGGTGAATAAGCGTGGTGTGGTAGCAATTGAAAGCCACATATGGCTGTTTCTGACACGACCACTTGAGTAGTCTGAACTGGTGCGTTATCGTGCAGAAAAACTACCCCTGCTGTTAACTATCATCCCTGTTTCTCTCTGACTGCTTGTTTCCATTGGCGTTATTCTGACGCGTGATACTTGCCTGTCATGGTTTGACCCATCAACGAGAAGCCAGTCTGAATTTGCCTCGAATTTTCTAGCCTGTTCAAATACTGATCGGGTGTCCACACATTCTTAGCACCCATCTTGCAGTCAGCTATCTCATCCCCAGGATGTTCGTTAAAACAGTGTGCACTGAACCATGACTGACGTCCATAGTTTTAGACATCTGAGAAATAGATCGCCTTCTATCATTTAATGACGTTAGATAAATTACTTCCACTTAATCATCACACGTTGAAGTTTTTGGGCGGTAAGGCTGTGGCTTATCTTCAGTGTGCTCCCTGCCCACTTCTTAACAGCGGATTAAGCAGGGAACTCCACACCAATTGTCTCAGTCATATCAATATGGGTTTCCTTTGCTTTCAAACCCTTTTTCTTCAAATACTTAATCCCAACTCGAGTTTCATATCTGTCCATTTTTAGAAGTCTAGCAACCAATGTCAGTTCAATGTACCATCACCTGCAAGCAAATAGAGATAGAAATTTGGGACTTGGTACCGATGATACTTCCATGATATGATACTATTATAAACTAATCTTAATTTCCATTCAGTTCATTTACATCTTACTTGGGCCGAGAACTTTTGGTCCATCGTTATAGTGTCTGTATCATCGTATCATGTTTCCCGGACGTATGTTATACCCAGTCTTTTCGCTGTTGATCGTACTAGGCTCAACTGATGGCACTTTGATTGCGGAGGGAACCGACACTGGGGTCAGATTCCGTAGGCCAAATCCATCGGAGTGGACGGGCGACGACTTCCCTTCATTGCACAGTGCTTCATCCACCACGGTTGCTGGAAGCACAGGCACTTCATCGGTTAGAGAATCTTATGCAAACACTACCGAAAGACAGAAGGATACCACCACTGCGGCCGCCGCCGCATCTGAAAAGGCCACCAACCGATCGACTTTAGCTTTCGTCACTTCTCGTGGGCGTAACACTACGCTCACCAAGGATGACTTCCCCAGCCTGCCTGGATCCAGTGGAACTACTTCAGGTGTGTTCTGGTTTTTAGTTCAGATTTTAAATTCTGATAAGAATCACTGGTGTATGTTACTTTGCCTTTGCCAAAACACCCGATAGACCTATTTCGGACACTTATTGAGTCTATTGATCTGTAGTGGAGTAAACGAGGCTGTTGGGCACTTTATTTGTAGACATTTCGTTATGAGGCTAAACAATATCATCAGTTAAAGTTCTCCCTAACTACTATCCATTCTTGTTACCATCGATCTTCCATTCACTCTCGATTTATTTTCTACTGATTTTAACTAGCACTTTTTTCTGCCCTGATCACACCACCATCTCCTGTTTGAGTTTGGCACACTTTCAAGCATGATAGAGAATGTAATTTCCGTGCCCGAAGTAGGATATAATACCTACACAAATGGGCCATGTTCTTCTAACTTTTCTCAAACCGGGGATGACAGCGACCTTTATTTGACTAGTTTGTCATCTGATCTGTGATAACGTGTCATGCCACACGAAGTTGGAACACGTATTCCAGCAGGAACCTTACCGTTCGAGCAGCCTGCTGCATCTGACGCCATATTCTTCATCACTGAATCCCATTGAGGGAATCTGGAGCATAACAAAAACATTTGTGAAGCAAGCCATGAGGTGGCAATATTCCGAGATGCTTCAGGGGGATCCTGAGGGTGTACCATGCAAGGGCGAATGGAGAATGCGCTTCTTGGAGCGAATTGTGTTAGAGGCACAAACCCGCGTTACGTCCCAGAACTGCCAATAAATGATCGATCATGTACGAAGCAATTACGATCGTGCTATGCATTGCCTAGATTTCTAAGCCTTTTTTACTGACATAAATGTATATGATTTGAAAAGGTGTCATTACGTTTATGTTTCGCATGGTGCTGTAGCACATGCGGTCGCGAGTGCCTGAGTCAGGCAGGCCTAGTGCGCCATGAGCGAGGCCACTTGGGACCAACACAGAAACGACGGCGGGTCCTGCAGAGAACATAGGCAGAACCGACGCAACGTTTGCAGGTACGCTGCATTCGATTTACTAACCGCGTGCTTGCATGTTGAGTTTCTTTATTTCAGGTGGTGGGTTTGCTATATTGTCCTAATGCTTTTTTTAGCTCATATTGACGTCTACCTGAACTATTTTCTATAAACTTGCACACGTTGCTTAAACTAATTTAGTTAACTTCGACAACAATTTCGCGTTTGTGGCATTTCCTTAAAATATATTCTCTGACCTCTTAAACTTATCCCGGATTCGTTGCTAACTAACTTACTTCATATGCTAATTTAGGGTAGAGTTATGTCTGCATAGCCGTATTCTTTAACAGATATATTCTATTTGTTAATGTCATTTCAAGCGATTGGCTGTTGTTTGACATCCACGGTGTGGCTGCACTTGATGTGCATGTTTACAAGGTGCCTACCTGTCTATTACCCACTACCTCGACCATACTGGCTCCAGGAGACAGTTGGTCGTTGCTGGAGGGGACGGAGTGCGCGGTCGTTGTGGTCGTGCTAGGCTCGAAGAGTGGTTCCATGCAGCCAGTGTGGAGCGGACTGCGGTCCAGCCACCGCCTTGTGTGCGCTTGATTTCCCAAATACAGTGTGCTTTTGTTTGCCTGTGAAGGAGTGTGGGCCGGCTCCGTTGATGAAACGTGGTTCCCATCCACATGCCTCCCGGTCTTATTCCTTCGGGTTCACACTGGATATGGGGTGTGTGTGTATAGAGCTGTGGGTGGTGCAGCGCAAGCCACCTATGGTCCCTTTGTAGGCGCAGGCGTCGTGTGGCTGGCCACAGTGATATGCAAATCCGTTCAGTTCACTCGAATCACTATGAGATCCGGGCACCGAAGCTTAATCGTAAGAAAATGAGGTTGAACGCAGAGTACAAAGCAAATGGGTGCAAGAAGGAGGTGCATTTAACTAACCAGGATGGATTAAAATTAATAGCAAATTGCAGGATATCAAATGCAGGAACGCCATTGACTGCGCGACTGTGCTATGTATGATAGAGCCTCTAACCACTGATTTGCGCACCACACCTGCGCTTCTTCATTTGTCCTTTTTATTGGGTAGCAATTCGTATCGGTTTATTCCCGTCTCCACTCCAAATGGCGATTCGACTCCTATGCATGATGACACTTCATAATGTCATTCCATCTGACTCCGGATTTCTGACTGATTTACCTCGCCGACAGTTTTAAATAGACTCAGATTTGTGCAATCGTGGAACACACTGTTTTCACTAGTCAATCTTCCTACCCCCTTGACACAAATAGATAGCTCTAGTCGCAATTTTGACGTCGTATTACTATGTAAAGCTTTGCTGTTTTGTCTTGGATTCGGTTCTCATTTATGATGGTTGATCAACCATGGTCTAGGTACTTCAGTGCACTATCTTGACTTACTCCATCGCGTTAATGACACTGCGCCGGTGGCCGATTAATCTGCACGTCTGGCTTGCAATCATAAGGTCACTGGTTCGATTCCGCGACTGGTGGTCGCACGGTAGCGAAGCGCTGTTACGGTGTACACCTGACACATTATTCATTTATTAGTAATTCGAGCAGATATCGGTGATCGAAATGGCGAAGGGGCCATTTCACTTTTATTTACGGCAACACAGTTTTAATCCATTCCTTCAAGCGATAAACATTTAGACTGTACTCATGAGTAGGGGATTTTGATGTAATTAAGGGAGGTTCATCGCAGCCAGTTTCCAAATCAGCTAGTCGTCCGCATGCCCGGAAAAGCACTCGACTGCAGTTTCGGCCTGTTGGGCATCGTGAGTAGTGCGCATCCATCGAATCCATCAGGATTCGAACCCTTGACCAGCAACGGCTTGAACGGCCAGTCATCAGCTTATGCCACTGTGCCACGGGGGACAACTTCGGATCGTCATGCTTTACAAGCTAACTGCGATATAGCGCGTCTTATCCTCCACTGCCATGCAAGTTACGAACATTGCAGAGGACAGGGTTGGCCCCGAAAAACACGACGTCCACTAACAGTAGCTATGTACGACATAACATTTAGGAACTGTCAAGGCGGATATATTTTAATGTACTCATTTAGACTGTCTTTCTTGTCTATCTCCAATTGGCGCATTTAAATCGGAAATTTGTAGTTACCTGATTCACTCCTCATAAGATTGACCCGTAACACTTTTGAACGATTCCACTTGGGACTCTGTTGTTTGGTCACTCTTTACCTCCAGGATTGTCGCCTGCCCGTTGGATCAAAACCGGATCCCAACTGAAAGGTATGTTTTGTGTATACAGAGACATTTGCCATGCATCTGTTGTCTACATTAACAACCATTGGTTATGTAAACGATGCATTGTTTTAGGACTCTTGTTCCGAATTATACCCTTACGTTGGACCACACAGCATCATATCTCATGTAACCCGACTAGTTTGACATTTGTTTCCAAATTCGGATAAATTAGAATCGCGGTGGATAGTAGTATGGTTACGCATGGTAACAAGTGCTCGAATGGCTTCTACTCTGAATCCCTAGGCATGGGGATGAGCTATTTTCCTATCCCCCTATCCCACCTATTCTAACCATCTGATACAACACTTGTTCAGTTGCGTGCGAGTCAGATACTCCAGTCGCAACAACGCATTGAAAGCCACGGATCATATCTTTTCAACAAAAATCTAAATACCCAGCTGTCGGCTACAAATGCAGGTGTGCCTGTCTGTTCGGTTCATAGTTCCGTTTGAACAGAGTATGTTCCATTGGCCAGCCGTCGCACGTTTATTCGCTTTGTGCGCATTCTGTTTAGTTCTATTTTTTAGCGTTAGACACGGTTTTCTCCCAGCGGAATTTCTAGCACTTCATGATGGTTTCTTGTTCCCCCACGTTCGTTCAATTCGCCGTCTTTATGTATTTAAAGTTACTTTCAAGCATTGTATGGTGCAATCGTTTGCAGAGCACCTCACTAACACCGCTCTGTTTTGCTTTTAACGGTTTCCGCTGCACATGACTGTTGGCTTCCACCGCTCTCCATGCATCCTTTTCATACGCGACATTACTGGTGTGCTGGTTGCCTTTCTTTTTACTCTTTCAGAAAGTCGACCGCAGCATGCTGTAGGCAAGGAACTGCCGATGAAAACCCCCAATCCGTCGCCTATTGTACGGCCTACTTTGCATCCCATTCAAAATGTTCCTGCAGCTACCGAGTTCCCCTCGTTATCGCCACAAAGCTCAAGTCGTCGGCCCGAATGGTCCATCTTGCCTTCATATACTCCAATCGTTAATCAGAAACCAAAAAAGCAAGGAGATAGTCATGACTTTTTGCCAACACCCATTGAGGTAAGGCATTCCCATTGGGTATTATATATTTCTTCGTTCTCCATCCAGCTGTAACTTTTACTATTTATTTAATATTACTCCTCCACCTAGCGACACGCATCACCTGTGAGCACAATTGTTTTTGTGTGCTGATTGTTGCAGTACTTTCGTTATGCACCTTGCTTTCAGGTCGAAGTCGGCGATGCATCGACCACATCTTCACTTTGCGTCGTGTTGGAGCACCGTCATGTTTATTGTCGACCCACCGTTGTTGTGTTTCTTGACATAAAAATGCCTTCGACTAAGTCGATGGATGTGCCCTTTGGGACTGTCTGCTGAGGAAAGGTGTGCCTGATAAATATGTAAACATTATCAAAGCGCTATACGCGTACAGTTCGGGCAGAGTGAGGGTTCATGGCAAACAGTCGCCACCTTTCAGTATCACCAGCAGTGTGAGACAAGGTTGCCCGCTGTCACCCTTCCTCTTTAACTTGGCTATTGATGAAGTCATGGAAACAACGTTCGCTGGACACGACCTAGAAGGTGTGGAGCTACTTCCTGGTGAGCGACTTCTTGACTTGGAGTATGCAGATGATATTGGTCTAATCTGTGACAGCTCCCAAACATACCTAGCAGCACTAGACCAATTAGCACTGGCTGTCAGTCGTTTTGAGCTATGCTTTGCTCCATCGAAATGCAAAGTACTTCTCCAAGATTGGCAGGGACCCCCCCCTGCGCTGACGCTTGGTGGTGGTCAGCTAGAAGTCGCTCAGGAATTCAAATACCTGGAGAGCTATATTAGCGCCTGTGGGATCGAAGATGAGGTTACGAACCGTATAGCAAGAACTGGAAGTGCTTTTGCCAATCTCCGCCACCTGTGGCGCAGACGCGACATTACTCTCGCCCTGAAGGACAGAGTTTATAACGCAACTGTCCGTTCAACTCTCCTATTTGGCTGTGAAACCTGCCCATCAGGTCGACAGACATAAAGAGGCTCGTCATATTCAATCATCGCTGTTTTCGCAGCTTAGCTCGTGACTGGTGGGGGCACCGCGTGAGCAATGCGCGTGCTTGGCGTCGCGTATTTGGTGCAGGAAGAGCGAGTGAACCGCTCAGCACCATTATATCACGCACCAGGCTCCGATGGCTGGGCCACGTGTTGCGCATGCCAGCACACCGACTCCCGCGACGTGCATTGTTTGCGCGTTGTGGGTGCGGTTGGAAGTGGAGGAGGGGAGGCCAAGTGATGACTTGGTCGAGAGAGATGAAAACCTTCACTTCGAAGTTGGCGTCGGTTGGTGCATCCCGACTGCATGGCTGGACGGTGAACACGTTTGATTGGACACACTTGCTGATATGGCTTGGAGCCGGCCCCAATGGAGATTCGTGTTGTGAGTTCCTTTGTCCATCCCCCTCCTGCATAGTGTCCCCCTCCAATCACGATCTCGCTCGTTAGGCATAATATGACTCGATAGCCAGCTGTTAGCTCTCCGGAACGATGTCCATCCGTTACTGAGGACTCAGCCGGCGTGCCATTGTTTGTTTTCCTTTTCTTATCTTTTGTATTGCGGCACAATAGCGGTAGTGTTTTCCACCTGTGTATAATGTATGATGATGATGATGATGATGGTGAACTTTCATCTCCCCAGCTAACATAGTGCTTTGTTTTGTCCTTCCGTTTGTAAGAACCCAAGGTGTGGACGGAGTTATTTATTATGTTGCACAACATGAACTGAATGCATCAGTTCTGATCAACGTAACTTCCACTCATCTACGCACTCCGCGCTGCAGGTTTCATGGCGCGTGTTGATCCAATGTTTAGTGGCTTGCCGAATAACCTCGTGGTGCCAGCTGGGTGGTTCGGGACTTTCCCCTTACAGCAAGTGGTTCGGCGACAATGTTCTCGGACGTGGTGGCTTTTCGCCTGCCAAGTGTTCTCCCCATAAAACCCACATATGTCCGTTTAACAACACTGTGACGTGGCGGACGTGACTCGCCACCAAATAAAGTCACTGCCCCCTGCTTCATCCTGGCGAAACATTGTATTCCAGCAACTTTATGCTGGAATTTCGGGGAGCATTGGGCCCCTGTTTAACAAAGCAACAAACGAAAGGTGTGTGAACTGAGCAATCAGTCACTGGCTCCCAATGGGCGCGATTCCCTGTGTTCGCTCCGCTGCCTTGTGGACAGGCTACTCAGCCAAAGGCTCCGGGTGGTGTCCCCTAAGTCAACACCCTACTTCAAATTGGGCAACCGGGTAGTATCTCGCCCTCTGACGTAACCATGGACTTTAATGTGTTGCGTTGTGCTTTCTTTTACAATTTCTGTACCTTCTTTTGTGCTCCATGGTTTCTGATGGCTCAGTGTCTACTCATTGACTGTTGCTATATATATATATATATATATATATATATATATATATATATATATATATATATATATATATTAGTGGTTGTGTGGCGTGCATTGCTTAGGTGTCCATTCCTTGCGGGGCTTTCAAATTCGGCTGTTGCTGTTCTCGTTTGATGAGTATTTTACACTTCCGACTGCAGGTTCTATATTTTATTTCTTACTTTGAAGCAATTTGTTTTCTCTGATCAGTTCTCACGGTCAATGTTGCCCTACTCCGTCAACCATCTGAAAACATTACGTGTTGCTGCCTCTAACTCGTGCCTTGTCGAATACGGCCATAAAGTCAGCAACACTTACAAACGTATTGGGAATAAATGTCTTGGATAAATGCGCAAGCATCGTGCTGGCTGACAATCTGGCCTCGGTCATTGTCCTGTCGACAAAGCGCAAATCCCACTGATACATTCCAGTAAGGTTCGCTCACTCCTTGGTAAAATCAGTGATCTCAGTGCCATTACGCAACGAAATAAGTATGCTAATAGACGGATCTTTCTGTTCCAAGAAAGCTGATTACCTACTGATTTGGCAGTTGGGGTCATTCAACTCGATGGTTATTTTTCCATCAGGTCTGACCGCCCCCGGAAAGCCCCAGTTTCCTGGTGTGGCTGTTGCAACTTACCTTAATCAACGTTGGTGCAACACAGCAATCATGATATTCACATACTCAACGATTTCTATAAGCTGCCATTTAGTTGTATACAAACCGAAATTCTGAAGTGGCTTTCGATCAGTCATCGCCGGGAACGTATACATTGCTCCTGACACATCTGCATCAGCGTTAAAGCTTTTTGAGGACCAAGTTTCTTCAACGTTACTGCTTAAATTAAATTGTTCTATCTGTATTTTTGCTGGCGACTTCAATAGAAAGGATACACCATTCTTGATGACACTTGGCTTGGTATACCTAGTGACTGTTTCGACCTGACAAGATGCCCAGTTGGACGCTGTGTTTACAAATATACTACAGTTGTGTTCCCTACAAAATGGGCTCCTTTGAGCAATACAGGCTATTTATTTTAAAACTCTATCCCATCATATGCAACAGGTCTAATTTTTTGACGCTGGACAGACGTCCTTATATGCTCATCAAACGGCGAAATTTTTCCTTGGAAAATATCACGTGGCTCCACACGATGTTATTTTTAACTGATTTTTATTCAACAACGAGGGCCTGTCGCTCGACTGCGATCATCATACGAACTACCTCAACTATTGCTTTGAAATGTGTTGCCATATTGCAACGATCCACTTAAGGGTAGATGGCTTTTCATGACCACTACTAAAGCGATTTCGAAGGATGAAAGCATGTGCTTACAAGTGCAAGAATGCTACTCGTGTCAAAAGTCTAACCACAGCAATTGAATCCGAGATAAAAAGGAGGCCAAACCAGTTATACGTCGAAGCAGTTCTAGGCAACCATAACTGTCGTGATCCATGGGGGTTTCTGAGGCTGCTCTGTGGTCAGTGCGTTTGCAGCCAGTGCGGTGAAGTGGATGTGGATAAACTGAACTCGATGTTTTGTTCTGCCTCACTAAGCTCATCGTCACCTTGCCCTCCTTTACCGACTCAAGTCTAGCCGCACCCTTCAATCAAAGCAACCGCCACAAGGAACTCAAATGATTAAAGGTAACCAAAGCTTGTGGTCCGGATACTCTCTCACCATTAGCTTTGAAGAAGTGTGCTGATTCTCTCACACTGTCTTTAACAGAGTTCTTTAACCAATGCCTCACTACGAGTGTGATCCCGGACATTTGGAGAACGGCCAGCATAACCCCAGTACCAACAAGTGGATCTCAAAAGTATCGCCCAATCGCATGTACATCTGTGCTTTCAACATTTTTCGAAAGACTGTTAATTGTGCGGATTTGTTGAACCGCTCCTGAGGACAATATCTACCAGTTTGCGGATAAACCCCATCGCTTCACATTGGATGCAGTGACATATCTTGTTTATTCTCTAGCCTCTGCATTAGATCAAAAATGTAAATCTGTACGGCTTCTCTTCCTGGATTATTCGAATGCCTTTGGAAGCCTGGATAGGTCAGCGTTGCTAAACCTGCTATCCGAGAATGGAGTTCATCCTGGTGGATGTAATCTGTTACGTGACTGTTTTACGGACCTTACTACTTTACCAAGTTGAACGATAAGAAATTCTCTGTTCTCCGTGCCGACTATGATGTTATGCGGGGAGCGATCCTACCACTTTTCTATTTTCCTTGTATGTTGTGTACCTCCCTACACCAACCACGTTTACAGGGTGTAAATATTATGAGGATGTTGTGTTGGGATGAATGACCCCCATTATCCAGGATTCCTCACCACTTCAGCGTGGTTTGGAAGACCTGTTGGAATGGTCTTCCTCCAGATCTCTTACGCTTAATGCTTCCAAGTGCAGTGATGTAATATTTTCTTTTCTCCGTGGTGATAACTTGCGGTCCTACATAGATATCTCCCACACTGTTATTGTGAATGAAAATCCCATACCCAGCTCTTCCAACGTCAAGTATGTCGGTGCCTTTTTTGTCCCAGAATCTTTATTGCTCCACGCATGTCTGGAAATCCTTTCAGAAATCCAGAAACCATTCCTTCTAGGCCCTCAGATTTAAGATTCTCCAGCTTATGGTACATTAATATTCAGATTTGTGACTTTTTGCATTATTCCCCTCTGGTTACACTGCTCTCCTGTAGAGATTCTGTGGTTCATCGAGAGAATCTTTAGTTGATTTGATCATTTCTAGACATCTTGATGCCTGCCATAATTTTTCTTCTAAACTACTAACTGATCGATTTCGTCCACTTCACAATGATCCTTTCAAAACGCTCTCTTTCTCTTCTACTCTTTTGAAGTTCCGAATTTTATTCTTCCGCACATCATCGTATCGTATTACTGTTTTGCCTTCTCCCTCACGTTTGCTTGTTGACCCAGTGAAAGTCACTAACATGCTGCACGAGCGATTGTTGGGATAACAGTTATGCACTTCTCACATTTTCTCCCCAGGTGTGTTATTGATATTATCCTCCAGGTGTCTGCAATAGTGTGCATGCGGAGTTCATGTTAGAGTTCTTAAAACTTATTTTGACTTGACGTTCAGTTCTGTTGGCCGATCATCACCTCTCGCAATTCGCGCTCTCAAACCTGTGTGCACAGCTCAGTTCTAAGCTGCTTTCACTTTGCAGCATCTAGATGTGCATAACTTGGATGGCACAGCTCTCTCTGCAACGCTTTTTAGTTGTTTTCATGGTGCACACCAAGTCCTCCTCCTCATATCGATCGCAGCAGAAATGTGGTTCGATTTATCCCTTGTTTTTTGGGTAAGCTTTCCGAATCGAACCTCCACCTGCGATGATACTTACCACTCCATGTCAGTTTGCATGTGGCTACTTGCTTGCAAGTGCAACTTGCTAATGCATCAATTCAGTTCATTTTATCAACTACGATCAGCGCACCAAACTACGTTGAATCCAGCTGCCTTCATCTGTATGTTACGATACCACTGGAACTACTAATACTACTGATGCTATTATTAGTAATGTTAATAATTTAAACAATGAGCGATAGGTTCAGTCGTAAGTTACATGGACACCACTGGTTTCATGCCTTTGCCATATCCGATACGATGCCAACCATTGATGGGGCCGATTCCTAGGTCCTTCATTCAGGGATGCGACAAACTCTGCGGTCTTTCCACTGACTGGACTATACGAATCATAGGCCAGCCACTTTCCAACTCAGAAAACAACGATTTCGACAATCTCTCCTCGAAACCCTGAAATACGGCGTTGTTTATAGTCAAAATCTCGAATTATCTGATTCAATAGAAATGCCCCAGTAGAGAGTTCCTTGCTACCGGGTGCCGATAAATGCTGTTCTTGAACAGCTCCAAAGGAGGGGCGCTCCCATTGACTGGCTCCTGGCCAAAGAGCTTGGTTGGTCCGAGCTTCTTATGGGGCTACAGGCAAGGAACTGGGTTTGGACGGCTTCTCTGACCAGGCTACCTTAGTAGTCTTCAATCCTACTTACCTTTTCGATGAAATTCTTACTACAGTGCAGTTGGGTCATGTTCGGTATTTCGGCAGTCAGAGAGGGATCAGTCTAGTCTCAATTCTCACTAAGATACCCGCCTCTGTGGTTCTTCATAAGTTTCGTGGCACACGTGAATGCCAAATGCACGAGAAGCAAGCCGGGTTTCGTCAAAAACAAGGCTGCATCGACTACTTCTTCATTTCCAATGAATTGATGGAGCACCGCGATATTTATTGGCTATCCACTGTAGTCGTGTTCCTCTATAACGAAGGTGCCTTCGATTCGGTTGATCGATGTACTCTTCAGGACTCTGCTCAAGTAAGGTCTACCCTATAAATATGTAAATGTCATGAGAGCACTTTCCCCACCTAGTTCGGGCAGTGTGAGGGTTTTTGGCAGTGTCGCCGCTCTTCGATTTCTTCAGCGGTGTGAGGCACGGTTCCCCGCTTTTACATTTCCCCTTTAATTTCCCTGTTGACGTAGTCGTGGAAACGGCGTTCGCTGAACACCACCTGCGAGGTGCGTAACTGCTTCTTGGCGAGCTACTTCTTGACAGAATATACCGACGACATTGCCCTGATCCGCGACAGCTTCCAAACTTGTCAAGCTGTATAAGATAATTTAGCTCTGGCTACCAGTCATTTCAGGCTTTATTTTGGATCCTCGAAATGCAAAGTGCTTTCCCAATACTGGCAGGGACACAAACCTACACTGATCCTTACTGATTATCAGCTAGAAGTAGTCGACAAATTCAAGTATCACGGAAACTGTTAGCGCCCGTACAATCGAAGATGACCTCATGAACCATATGGCAGAGGTTAAAACGAAGCCTTCTGTTCAATCTTCCTATACGGTTGCGAAATCTGGCTCGTTATGTCGGCCATCGCTGCCTTCGCAGCATAACTTATATGGTGTGGGAACACCGCTTGAGCAATGAGCGTGTTAGGCGTTGTGTATCTGATGCAGGAAGAGGAAATAAACGGCTCAGCATCGTTATATAACGAACCAGGCTCCGATGGCTGAGTCACGTATTGCGCTTGCCAGCCCATCGACTCCCGCGAAATGCGTTGTTTGCGCGCCGGGGGTGTGGATGGAAGAGGAGGAGGGGAGGCCAAACAATGACTTGGTGGAGAGGAACGAAGTCCCTCACTTCGGAGTTTGTCTGGGTTGGTGCCCCGATTGCCGGGTTGAGGTCGGAAGAACGATGAACACGTTTGGTTGGATACACTTGTTGACAAGACGAGGAGCCGATCTCAGTGGCGTTTGTGTTGTGAGTTTCTTTGTCCCTCCCTCTTCTCTTTAATTTCCGTCTACAACTACAATCTTGTGCTCGATGTTAACGTGATATTTAGTATTACATAAAGAAATGAGTTTTTGTAGTCTCTACTCTTTAATATGTCAGTGGCCGGAGTGTGTTTCTCACCCTCACCTACCGTGTATTGATGATGATCTATGATTAACCGACTGTTTTTGTTTTTACAGGTAAATGATTCTGTCCCACAAGATCCTAGTCCCCCTATTGTTGATCAGAAGCCTGTTTCCAATAGCAAAAAGATGCCAGAACCTAGTCCTGAAGACTTTCCTTCACTTAATCGGAATAACTTGGGCAATGCTCATCCTGGGGCCTCAGAAGCGGCCGCAGGCAGGAATACCAAAAGTTCAATCCTTGAGACGGCTTCCAACAACACCCCCCAGCGCAAAGTCAAAGATGTGAAACAAAAATCAACCGTTAAAGAACGAAGACCGTTCCCCACTCATGATGAGATTGACACGGAATGCATTGTATTTGCTGAGGTATGTCTGCATGTTCCCTTTCAATAGCTGTCATTGGGTTAAGTGTTAACTCATTAATCCGTGTACTTTCTCTCACGAGAATGATACTCATTAGGCACATGTTGTTTTAACGCACCATGAACAACATCTCACCCAGGCGAACCTCCCAAACCTTGTCATAGCGATGTTCACTGACTTATTCTTAGGGGTTCTGCCCTACTTCCTCTGTGTTAACTCCTCAGACTACACCTTCTACTTAACACAATCTCCCTCATCCGAGGATTTAAATTTCTTTCACCTACTCCTTTTGGATCGAACTCTGCTCCCACTTTTCTGGCGTCATGAGTCCATGTGGATGAATATACCACATTACAAATGCACTGATCATATTTGACAACAATCAGCTGCCGGTCCTTATTTTATCTAATCCGCAGTGGACTATTACGAGTAATTACCGTATATTACCGAATATAAGCGGTGCTTTTTGGACAATTTTTCATTGCTGTAGCAAGGGTCGGCTTACTAAAAGGCAAACCGACTTGAAAAAGTCACATTCAAAATTCACCCGGGAATTCACTGCCCCCACTTCCTTTATCTCCATTTAGTACCATCCGATGGTATTCCAGACGGGGATTTGAAGTGCTTATAACTGGACACATTGCTTCTGTATCGAAAATCCTCGGTGTATTACACATTTGACGTTCGCTACAGATGCCTGTAGCTACTCAGAAGCCCTTAAACATTATGTTATGCCATGCGACCCGGTGCCTTACAAGTACAACATCGTCCCTCACTCCTTACCGTGAACTTCGCTCTCACCCACTGCTCTACTGTGGTTCATATGCATGAGGCCCCCGACTATGCGAGGGGACCTGTCTGACACTCTCTCACCTTAGTGTATGTAGTCGGCTGTCTTACCTGTTTCATGTGACTTCACGTCCAGCCAATACACTGTCCGGTGCAGTCTGTTCTGACGGCCCTACCCCCAATTGATCTCGATTATAACACATCACGGTCATTACAACTCACTAATAGGAAAGCAGGTTTCATTTGAACTCACTCAAGTGAGAGCAGACAGTGATGCCATCAAAATATTAGAGAAACAATTTCGTTTCTCTCTTGCTGCTGTTGTAAAGTTATACTGTCGGCTTCTCTATGGACGCGCTTTTATTCGTTATTATGACGGTACACTGTTTAGCCACCTTCCAAACCAGATTGTTCGCAGCATACACGTGTCGTTTTACAGCTTATCTGATCGCTACTCAGACATCTTTGAATTTTGCCCGCTTGTGGGCATCACGATATCCACCGCTGAGGCTAATCTGTTTGCGGTCTCCTTGGGGAACGATTTGCTGGTTGTGTAGACTCATCCCATGCACTATACATGTGTTAAATCCATAATGTTTACAATCCCATCTGTCGTGTTGCCCCCGGGAAGCAAGAAGACAGGTCCGCGATCACGAAATCTATTAAGATTACGCTCGAATATATATCGAATATATACACTATTTACAACAGTCCGTTTCAATGGATCATCCCTGTTATTTACATTGTGTCACTGGCTCCTTTTCCATTGTTTTATGCTTGTTCACCACATTCACTCTGTCTAAAATCTCCTTGACTTTCTTAGTGGATGTACGATTGGCGGGATTGCGCCCGCGCGCTTCTTCCCCCGGTCCAATGCCACAAGCCTTAACTCAAAGGTGCACGAGTATGCAATCTTTCGCCTGCTGGCGCCTGATTGGTCACTTGCACGTTCATTGAATGATTGCAGGCTGGGCGCGATCACGGGCCAACTATTTCCTGATTGACTGATCAATCTGCTTCCGGCAACATGCTCACTCTATATCGGTCTGGCTTGTGACGTTCAATCGGCATTACAGCATTTCCACTCACCAGCATTTCGAGCCCCCATCACACCATCTCGGTTTTGTTTGAATTTATTGTGTTTGGAACGAGCCGATGCGGTTCTATCGGCTTTATCGCCAAGATGTTCGCGGATTTATTCCGATAGATCCGTGATTTCTCTTCTTCACACCCGTCTTCGTATATTGGCCCCATAACTCAGTATTCCTTCATTGATATGTTCCAAATTCGTTAGTTTTGATGACTGTTCCCCTGGAATTGACATAGCGTTCACTTTTGACAAAATGCTTTTGACGTTTTGTTATTTCACGTACGTCAAAACTCGCCCGACTGAACACCTACAAGTTGAAGGACGCAATGGTGAAGAAGGAGTATCAACAAAGGCTTCGTGAACATCTCGCTCTCTCTCACACTGGATGTTAATGAACACTGGTCACGTCTGCAACAAGCCTCGCTGTCGGCCGGTTTTTCCAGCTGCGGCATCGCTCGCTCCACTCCCAAATGTTGGATCTCGGGAAGATCCTCGGAATTGCTGCATCGCCGACGGGTGGTGCCTGCTGGCGCAAAGTACAACGAACACCGCCGGTCTGTTGCCCAACAGCTGTTAGCAAGCCTTCGCTCTGATCGTGAGTTCTGGTGGCCAAAACAAGCTGATGAGATGGAAGCGGCTGCATCAGCTGGCAACTTCCGCCGTCGATTTTGCATCATCAGGACCACCGGTTGCAGTTTCCACGCTATCAGCCAGACAATTTGCGAATCAGACGGCACGAAGATCACCAACCTTCACAGGCGATTGGGTCCCTGTGCAGAGCATTTCGCTCTTCGATTCAACCACCCAACACAACTCCCTGTGGCACCTCCAGCCCCCAAGGGATGATGCTTGGCCTGTCCCCACCGGCCCTCCAACTGAAGCAGAGATCCGAGATGCAATCCAATCTTTGAATGCCACAAGGCTCTGGGTCCCGATAGCCTACCTTCGGCCCTATTCAAAGACGGCGGGAGTGTACTTGTCAGCGAAATCCTATCGCTGTTCACGAAAGTTGGATTAAGCAGAAGGTTCCGAACTCATGGGGGAATCGGTCATCGTTCGAATTCACAGAAAACTTGGTAGACAACCGGTTAATGTATTTATGGTGATGGACAACGTTTCGCTTTTGACACAAAAACTTCATGAAGCTTTTGTGTCAAAAGCGTGGTTTAACAATCTGATCGCAAGGCAGCGAACTACCTGGACCCGTTTGAAGAAATAAGCAGACCATCTGATTCCATCCTGGGTGACGAGGACTCTAACGTTTGTCTATCGTTTTTTATCGTTCACTCTAGTATGAGTGACTGTGATTAAACACGCCCTGCATAACTCAGTGGTGAACTTTGAGGCACACAATCCATCGCACCATGACGACGTTCGGTCTTATTGCGATGGCTAAGACAATTGGTAGCGATTCCAGCGGCCACTGCAGAATACGTTCGGGCCCACGCGCTTTGTTTCTTTTCCGATATACCTGCTCGTGTCCGATGGTGTGAAGTTGTCCTAGGTAGGCTCTCTGCGAGATTGAAATAGCACCCCCCCCCATCAGAGCACAAGGTGCGCCTTCAAATGTTTGACCATCATTCCCTGCGGAATGTTGCGTAGGTGCGGGCTCTCTCGCGGTATACTCCGTCCACACGCTACTGTTGGTGATTGCGCGGCAGCGAAGCGTCGATACAGTGACAAACAAAACAAAGACTAGTCCTTGTTCAGAAAACCACTTCTTAAAGGACTAAGTTTCGTTCTATACTGTACACAAATTTAAGTCACCATTATACTGAAGCGCACCTTCAATGACCAATCGTTGTTACTCATCGGCCTGGGTTCATTGGCTCACACCGATCATCCGTTCGTTTGGGCCACTCATATCTCGACTCTGAAACCAAGTTCCGCTTTTATAGTGTTGCTCATCCCAACACTGGCACCCCAAGACCGCGGTTTGGTCCTGGTTGGGGCTCATCAGTTGGAGATAGCCTGAGTTGGGCTGAAACTCAGAGCCTAGTGGCTCATGGTTGACACCATGAGCACTATGTCACTGAGATCCGCGAGCAACGCTTGGTCCAGCGGAAACGAATTCAAAGGTGGACTTGGAGAATCCGCTGGTGCTTGGGTTGCTACAAGCAACCTCTATTGAGACCTCGGTTCACTTGAAGTGGACCTCGGCCATTCCGATCTAAAAGACTGTAAGTAAAGTAAGTAAGTAGCAACCCAAGCACCAGCGGATTCTCCAAGTCCACCTTTGAATTCGTTTCCGCTGGACCAAGCGTCGCTCGCGGATCTCAGTGGCATAGTGCTCATGATGTCAACCATGAGCCACTAGGCTCTGAGTTCCAGCCTAACTCAGGCTATCTTCAACTGATGAGCCCCAACCAGGACGAAACCGCGGTCTTGGGGTGCCAGTGTTGGGATGAGCAACACTATAATGTTTCTATTTTGCTTACAGTCTTTTAGATCGGAATGGCCGAGGTCCACTTCAAGTGAACCGAGGTCTCAATAGAGGTTGCTTGTAGCAACCCAAGCACCAGCGGATTCTCCAAGTCCACCTTTAAAGTTCCGCTTTGTTCACGCTAACCCCAACCTAATTCTGGGCTATGTTAACCCGATTCCTTCGAATGTGGTCAGCTTGCACCGATGGCACTGTTTGACTTTCCACCTGTTGTTTCCATCTGTTGTTCTGCTCACTCGCTAGATCCACTGTCATCGCACCATGCGCTGTCCGCTCAGAGTCAGCGTCCCGTTCGAGCTATATACATATATTTTTTGCAACAGTCTGTGAATAGACATTGAGCCGTCGGAAACCATGGAACTCAAAAGAAGGTACAGAAATAGTACAAGAAAACACAACACAACACATTAAAGTCCATGGTTTCGTCAGAGGGTGATACTACCCGGTTGCCCAAGCCGAAGTAGGGTGTTGACTTAGGGGACATCACCCCGAGTCTTTGGCTGAATAGCCTACCCGCAAGACAGTGGAGCGAATTCAGGGAATCACGCCCATTGGAAGCCGATGACTGATTGCTCAGTTCATACGCCTTTCGTTTGGTGAGTAGCCAAACAGGTGCCCAATCTTCCGCACGATTTCAACAACAAGCTGCTGGGATACAAAGCTTCACCAAAGTGAAACAACGGGCAGTGACTTTATCTAGTGGCAAGTCACATCCGTCACGTCGCATTGTTGTTAAACGGACACATGTGGCTTTTTATAGGGAAAACGCTTGCCAGACGAAAACCCACCACGTCCTGGAACACTGCCGCCGAACCGTTTGCTTGAACGGGAAAATCCCGAACCACCCAGTTGGCAGGGTTGTTCGGCAAGCCAGCCTCCGTTCGAGCTACTCCGGGACTAAGAGTACGCTTGACTCACATCACTGTAACCCCGTTTCCCACTGTTAATCCGGCCCCGTGTACGTGTGGGGTCAACTTGCGCATGCAGCGCTGATTAGCTTTCCGGTCTACTACTGGCGGCGCGTCGGTCTCGTTCACGTAGCCTGCCATCTACCACCAAACGATGTGCCAGCGTGCTGCTGATGTCCTCGTCTACAACAAATCGACAATGTTATCATGCTAAATCAATGGAACCAAAGGAATCATGGCCAAACGCTGTTTGTCAATCAATCAGCTGCGTAGATGGATGACTGTATTTCGTGCAGTTGCTAATCTTGTGTCTAGTTCGTCTCTTTGATCTAGTCGGTCTATCCTGATTTGGTACCCATCTCTCAGTTGGTAACCGTTGACTACATCTCCTTCCGTCTCCATGCTATTTCCTCCCCTGTTCGCCATTTCAGGCCAAGTACACGCCGTCTCCAGACGAGAATTCAAGGAATCTTGAGCTCCTCAAAACAATCGAAGCATCGCTATTCGATGTCGGAGGAAAGACCACCTTCGCTAGATTCGCTGATCTTTCTCGTCGATATAGCCACAAACATCTGACTGCAAGTGCCTATATGGAAGGTATTTCTGGACTACTATCTCCTCATCAAGGAAGCCTCCCTAATAAGGAAAATTCCTCAGGTTTGCCATTTAAACAATTAGCTCATACCTTTTGCTACTTCAGTATCCTTTCTGTTGTACACCATGTGCTGATTTGTTCTTGGTGTTCACATTCTACCGGCGATGTTCTGTCTGTTATTGCCGACTTGTGCAAATCGATGCTCATATGTGTGTGTGTGTTTTTACGTGATCAGATGAGTTAGATTGGCGCCTCACAAATGGGTCTCTGTTGTGGTTGCCGCTAAATGTACGACTAACCTGGTGCTACCGCGCAGCGGACGGTCGCCTGAAATCTGTTGTGATTGCCGCTGAATGTACGGCTGACCTGCTTGAATCTGCTGTGTCGCCCGTAACCAATGGGAACGCCAAGACCAGCCGAACCGAGGGATTCCTATTGTATGAGAGAATAGCGCAATAAATAGGTTGTAGGTGAACTGCTAACACAACAATATTGGTGATGCTAATTTATCCTATTTAACACAACGCGAACGAGCCAATTTCAGGGTTTAACTTGCCGCTGACCCCACATAGATTTGCGTCTGATCACTGCTCAATTTGGATCTCCACTTGTAGGTCGATCCAACGTTGCGCCACAGTTCTCGGCTTGTACGCTGACCATAAGCCGGCTCTCCGTAACAGTTTCCATTATTTCCTACTGATGATGATGTGTCAAATGTACGCCGTAACGGCGCTTCGCTACAGTGCGACCACCACCAGTCGCGCGCGGGCTAAGTATACCACAAGGACGCCCACTCCTACGCGTATTCGAACCCGCGCCGCAAGATTACGAGACAAGCTCGTTCTCTCTAGGCTACGGGCGCCTATGTTATTAGTGGTTCAACACCTACTTCTGTCGATTTGCGATCGGTACTGCTGTTTGGGCACTTTGATTACTCCCCATGTGCTATGTTCAGTGATAGGCACAAGAGGCCACACACATCACGTGTCTACCGCAAGCCAGACGTTCGGACACACTGAGCTATTTTGCTTCATCAGGTAATCTGCCATCTGCACGTGTACTCGATTCTTCGTCGTCTGCGTCACATGGTCCTTGTTACCATCCAACTATCACCATCGCAATTCCGTGCGAACACACACAGGAAAAACAACACGGACGGAACGCAGATTCGGCTTCCAATCGATAACCCCAGCACAAACAAGGTAAATGACAAGACCTCTGAATGAGATTTATCATTGGTGCCAATTCAGGCGAAAAGCACTAGTTGTTATTTATAGGTCTTCAAACTGCCTAACGAAATTGGTCAGTCGTGGTCCGAGTCTGAGACTGGAACGAATTTACGCGTTCCCTTTCACAAATAATAACAATACTAATAATGTAATAATAATAATAATAAATCCGTATTTTGTTTGATTCTGGTGTGTTTTCCGGAAATCCAGCGTTTTCCCAGCATTCCGTCAGGTAGTGCAACGTTGCACTGACCAAGACCACAAGCCTATGATCTACCATAAATTCGGTTGCTATTCGATCGAAATCACGGCTTTCAACTGATGTACATTGTACATTGTCCCGTTCATTTTCGTACATACCAACATGTACTCAGCCTAATAGTTAGCTTCCCACAGCTACGCGTTAAAACGTATACTGTGTTTCACGTCCCCATGGTTGCTTCCGAGAGGCTGTACCAATAGCACCTAGGGACAGCTAAACTGCACTTGAAGGGAATAAACGGCCACTGTTCTTATTGTTTAAACTGTTATCGTTGAGTTCGATTACGTTTACCTTCATCTTCTCATATCGGTCGATGCGCGCTTTGTAGGTATCCAATAGCATAATCGTTCCCTACTCAACGGGCAACACATCACAGAAGACAACTGCCTGTGGAAGATCAGCGTCGACATCAGTTGTCAACACACTATTGTACACAAAAGCTGCAACTTGGCTAGCTGGACTCACTGTTTGACGGATGCCGTTTGGTTCTTTCGTGGGGTGTTATAACTCAGTCAGTCGAAAGTCGCAAAACTGACACCATGCTTCTGCGACACTCAATTTGCATCCTCACCACGATAGAGAATGTCCCGAACATCCAAGTTTCAGATTTCACCTTGTTCGGACACACATCTCAGCAACTAAAACATGTATTCCATGAGGATTAAACTCCCGGACTACATCGGCTGTCTGTTACACTGGAGTCAGCTTGTGCATCTAGAAGCCGACATCCCTATCTTCGGGCCGTTCGCGATGGTATGCGATTCATCGAACGGGAGTCTGTGAGATCATGGATGAGGTTGGCGATTGATCAAAAGCAGGTGCTATTGTGCAGCCAGTAACACAGAAGTACCATGTAAACTAGACGATAACGAGCCAACAGTAGATCATACCAACCTTCTAACAGAAGAAGAACGCTTGGGAGCAGCAAAGGTATCTACACTAGGGATAGATACAACAGCGACGCGCACCACACAACCTCCAGGAAGGGTCCGAAGATGAGTACAACAGTGCAGGCTGAGGTATGTGGTTGATGGCATTTGCCATCATAACTAACTCGGTTCGCGTGGAAGACATGCGTCGTCTTTCTGCCTTCGATAACGGTTGCGTAAGGAGGATCGCTCGTGATTGGTGGCAACATCGAGTTAATAGTAATGGCGTTCGACGTCACATCTTGGGGAATGCGAGTATTCCCTTCAACAAACTGGTTTTGTTACGCCAGTTAAGATTGCTCGGTCCCGTCGTACACATGGCACCTGAGCGTCTACCGCGTCGCGCTCTATTCGCTCGTCAAGGACCTGACTGGAGGCAACCGCGTGGTGGTCAGCCTTCTACATGGCAGCAGCACATGAAATCGCTGACGTCGTGTCTAGCCGCTGTTGGATCCGTACGTCTTCCAGGATGGGAACCCAAAGATGAGGAGTGCCAATGACTTAATAATGTTGAAGATATGGCCCGCAACCGGAATCAGTGGACGAATTGTGTACGGTATTGTATTGATTTACATGTTTAATACTTCAAACGTTGAATATGACAAAAAAGAGAAAAATGGGCATGTGAAAAACAAACTAACAATGTTTTGTTCTACTTTTTGTCGAAATGTTCCATTCTTCCTGCGGTATATTAGCTACTACTACTACCACGCCACGATGATAATGACGCAGTGACTTCCCCTTATCTGCTAATCTCTATGGCTTTGTTGGCTCTATGTCCAGTTGCCAGGCTGTTGAGATTACATACATACATACGGTTCGCGCCTTGCATTCGTACAAGTTGAGGCGAGTGCGACGCAAGGAGATCGGATTAGTCAGATTTGTATCGAGCGAGTGATGCGAAAGTGGTCTGTTCCAGCCAGTATCAACCCGCCTTTCTGTGTCGAGTTACACCGATTCCTCGTTAGTGGTACTTTTGGTTCATAATTCCCATTGTTCTCTTGTCTCTGTGCACGCAGCTACTGTGCCAGTCTAAAGACCTCTTGAATTACTGCCACCGCTACATTGCTTTAACCACCATCGGACACTAAAATATTCAATTAATCTACTTGTTTATTGGCGGGCAGATGACACTACTTTACTTATGATTTGCTAATGGAATCTGCTCAGCTTAATTTGTCATCAACCTTCCGATCCACTTAGCAATTATGTTTATTCAACTCACCTTGATAGGCAAACTTATCAGCAGTGTGGTACAAGAAAAAGCGTTTCACACCACAAGAGTCAGCCCGATAAGTTTGCAGCTGTCCAAGCGACAACTAACAAGTAAAAGCTGTGTACGAAATCCTCTCACTACAGGCTTCTCGATTGTATCGTGCGTCGAATGGAATCTCACGCTATCGGGGGTATCGATATCGCGCCTCCAACTCAACCTGACACGTTTGTCCATTCCCCTGAATGTTTCTGCTACCAGATCGCTTGGAAGTGTACTGACGAGTATCCCATCTTGTCACTTGGAAGGCCCCGGTTTAATTCCTGGTCGAGGAGCACGTTAACGCTCTTTGGCCTAAAGCATTACGCACTTGCTTTGTACTCCTGAGGTCACCGGTTAGAATCCGCGTATGTGCTAACAGCCTCGCGATCTACTCAGCCCACGCCCGACTGTCGGCGATCGCTGGTGGACGAAGCGTCGATATAGAGTGCCGGCGTACTGCTGATGCCTACTTCTCCTCTTGTCACTTTAACTTGTTGTTCAACCAATCATTCGCACTAAACAAACGTCATGTGGGTCATGTATCTGGTTCCAGCTGAACAGGTGTCTGTTTCATGCGACGGCGAACGTCAATATTGTTTAATAGCTTGTTTCAATGAATACTAATAATCCCTCGCAAAACTCAGTGCTCGTAAAGTAGGCTTTTCACAGTCAATGACTGTCACTCAGCTCTACCAAAATAGACTCTCCAGGTGCGACGAGACTAGACTTTGACATGATGCGATGTCAGCGACCTGTTAAGCTTTGCTTACTGGTACTTTTCGCACCTTCATATCCATTCGTATCAGATTGGTCGGTGGTTAGAGGTCGGACAAACTCAGTATCTCGGGGCTCCAGGTTGAAGATTTTAGTGATGGTGGCTCGATGTTCCCTAATATGGACTTTGTATAACCCAGTGCCCACTTCACACTGCCTTACGGCCAGGGGTTTAGATCAAATGCTTTGGTTGAGAACCCTAATCGTCCTGATTTAAACCTAGTCAATCTGAGTACACTGTCCACGCATTGAAATGCAAACTTTTCTAATGATCTCTCACGACTGTGGCTGTCACTGGGGATGCTCAGCTTTCATGGCCTAAGGTTGCATACAACTGGTGCAGTGGAAGCCGCAAGTGTGCGTCCTCATTGTTATCACATTATCCCCGTACCATAATTCGTTTGTTGGCCAGTTTTAGTTGTGTGCCTTCAATCTATTTGGGAGTTTCTTTGCGCTAACTACCATATCAGATGATCCTCAACATATCCAGGGGAACACTAGGCATCCGTTTCGACCTTATGGTTCTCCTCAGTGAGGCACATCCGTCGGATCCATCCGTGTCTGAACTCTTAACCATTACCGGCTTGTGTCGTCAGCCAGCAGTTTATCTCACTGAGCCACGATACTAGACAGCCGTTTTGATGGTTGCGTTTGCTCCGTAGTGGGCTTCCGTCTGATCAGTGGTTCAGTGGCGTTAACGTTCGGCTAGCGGTGCAACCCGCTAGTGATCTTGTTCGGATCCTGATTGATTCACCGCATGCGCCCTACTGACTGGACCGGATAGATGGAGACAACCGTTTAGCGCTTTTCCGGGCATGTAGAGGACTATCTGATTTTGAAGCTTTTAAGGAGAGACTCCAACAATTTGCATCATAAATCTCATACTCATGAGTACGTGCTTTCATTCTGGTTGGTCACACAGGCATTTTAGTTTCTATACTTAGTCTCTCCTTACCTTCTTTTCATTCCTTATTGGCATGCTAATGAAGTTTCATTGTGCAGACTTAATGCGCTGTTTTGGTACGGAATTAGATCCATCGAAATTCTGTGTATATATGGTGTCTTATCGTTTTTTTTTGCACTCCGCCTTACCTAGTTCATCTTTTTTGCCTTCAGGAACTCGTGTTTCTACCGAGTAGCTTTGTCCGGGGATTTCCACTTTCCTCTGGCTCATAATATGTTTGGATCCATGGGATTTGTTAGCTGGGGGAATCAATCAAGTCTGAGTCAACGGTTTGTCATACAAGGAGACAGTGATCTGATCCACTTACGCCTCGCACTACTTCGGAGTCGATGTTTATTCTTTTTGCTGGCCGGTGGCCGAGTGGTCTGCACGTTTGGTTTGCAACCATAAGGTCACCGGTTCGAATCCGCCTAAAGGTGGGTGTCCTCGCGGTATACAGCCCACGTGCGACTGATGGTGGTCGCGCGGTAGCGAAGCGTCGTTACGGCGTACAGCTGACACGTTATTTTATTTTTTACTTATTCTTTTCAGTTCTCCATCTGGTTAATCTCCCATCACTTCTTTAAATTTATTCTCTTTAACATGCAGTTCCCCTTCGACTGTGGTTTGATTCGTCAGATTTTTGAATTTCTGCCTCTTCCGGTTGTGCGCTTTCCCTTTTTTGCCCGATAGATTCAACTTACGTTCCACTGTGGGTAGCACCAATGATCTCCTTGTTGCCCAACATCGGACTGCAGCGTGCGCTCTTGCGGGTTTTGAAGGGAGAAGGTGCACCTCGTCTGCCTTCCACCGACAAGTCCTCAACTGCAAACATTCGACGCTCCAAGGAGTCGATTGTCCCCACACCTGTCTGGGCCAAATCCGTTTTGGCGCTGTTGCAGTGTTGTCGAATCTGTGGCCAGGTATGTCATAACTGGTCTAATATAGGCGCGCTTACTTCATCAACTTCCATTGCTCAACTTTCTATATTATGTTTTGCGCTTTGGTGCCTCGGTCCATTACTTGCATACTGTTTAGCCAATCGGTGTCGTGAATGCGCATGCTTATCCAGGCAACCCGACTTACCTCTTGACGATTATCCGCTAACACGCCGTTCTGTTCCACCACACATCCCACTTATAATCCTCTCTTTCACGATGTTTCTCATTTACCTGGCATTTCGAAAGCCTGCTTCATTTTGCCACGCACGTATCCAACACTGGACTTGATAAGATCCTTCGCAGCTAGACTCAGCCAGACAGTCGTCACACATCCTGGAAAGCGCTAGACTGCTGTTTTGTCCTATTGGGATTCGTCAGCAGCGCAAATCCACCGGATTCTGTCATCTCCGAACCCATGATCCTTCTCTTACTAGTTAGCCACAAATGCCACTGAGCCATGGGTGGTGACGGCGGATCGTCATGAATGAGTTCTAACTGCGATATAGAGCAGTTTATCCTCCACTGTCATGCATGTTATGAAAGTGCAATGGACAGGGCGGCCCCCAGAGCCGCGACTTCCTTTGCAACCCATCCCTGTCCTCTGCACGCCCATAACATGCACGATAACGGAGGATGAGCCGCGCTATATCGCAGTTAGATATCAGCCACATCGGTTCTCTGTCATCACCCATGGGTCAGTGGTATTTGTGGCTCACTCGTAAGACTAAGGTCGTAGGTTCAAGTCCGGTAGGATTCGGCGACGAACCTTCTCAAGAAGACAATAAACCCTTCCACTGCTCGCTACTAAGACTGTTCTTCTCCAACTAACTGTGGCCAAAAGTCAGGCATCACTGTTCGGTGGTCCACTAGAGGGTAGCTCCAGGTAGGCTCGCGGCCGTTGATTAGAGGTTGCGCGTCAGCAAGCAGCAGTTATATTGCATTTCGACTGCTGCTTTACATTCCTCTTACTCAGGTCGTTAGCGCCTACTCGAGCACTGTCAGCTGGCACATTTAAATGTGTATTAGATGTTTACAGCTAAGCATTGTTGCACTTTTCCTCGCGGTTTCGGTTGATTAGTGGGTGCCGCTTAAATTATTTTCTTTTTTCTGATATCCGGTAGTTTGCGCGCCGACCTCTCAAGCGCAGGTCTGTGGTTTGAATCCCTGGCGCATCGTCCGGCCCGTATCCTTACGGATCACAAGTCTGCCTTGTAATCCGAGGGTGCGCATTCGAGCCTGCGTAGGCACCGGGCGACTGTCACAGTATTCTTAGCCCACGTGCGACTGGTTCTGGTTTCGTGGCAGCGAAGCGCCGGTACTGCGTATCGGCGTACTGCTGATATCTTTTTTGATGCCAACTCAGAGTGCAGTCCATTGATTCCGATGGCTCCCCGGTCGATGTCTCCGTCATGTGGCGTATCAGGTCACGCACACCAGTCTAAGTTGCCGGGTACTAAAATTGGTTGTAGTGTAACTGATCATAGTCTTGGTTATAACCTCTCGCGCCGTTTGCTGAGCTCTGCGCCTCTTACGTCGCGCTGTTGTCACCATCCTTCGTATGTTGCTCACGTTTGTACCAGCTCAGTCAAAGACAGAAGGTATCTTGCGCAAATTGCGTATCACGCATATCTTCATCGTTTATCTTTTTCATCAGAAGTTTTGGCAAGCCGTTATTGCGAATTAGCCTGCGCAATAGCCCAGATTATTGTTTCAAAATCGCCACTCGCCAGCGAAGCTACGTATCGTAGCACATTGGACACGACATCACTTGCTTAATGTTATTACATCCTGGTTGTAACTGCTTTCGTAATCGAAACGACCGAACGCACACTGAAAAGTAGCCGACACCGGTCCATTAGCAGGGTTCGTGAGATCTATTAGCCAAAGATTTTCTACGCGAGAGCTGAATCCAACGACTTAAACGAATCCGGACCCCACATGCGTCTGCACAACATCGAAAGAGAGAAAAAACACAAATCCTTCTTGTCAGGCATTTTTTAACGGCCGAACAAGGAGCGAAAATAACGTTGCTCAGCCACATTTTTATGCCGAGGTTGTTGGCGTATGTGACTTTACCCATAGAACAGTCTGTGTAAGCAATTGTACTGGCACAATGTGTAAGCGGAACTTTTCGGAAACAAATATGTTTGTACTAGCGCAGACTGGTCGGAAGGAAGTGAGTCGTTGTAAATGCGGAGACTGATTGAATCATGCGTTCTGACATGCGTGCCAGTATCTAAACCTTACGTGATTTAGCGTACGCGATCTTTTGTGTGTGTGGGGGGGGGAGGAGTCATGCGTTCCCCATAACAATTGGTGACAAAACTCGTGCAACCGAATTACCCGTATTTGCGAACTAACCAAGATGCGAATCAACTCATCTTTTCGCGGGTGCGAAATGAAACCCTAAGTACTACAACATTCTAATCTTATTTCTGGGCTGGAGATTCCACCAGTTAGAAAGCACTTTTCCCTACTCTGGCCGATTACTGCGAATCTGGGTATACTCAGCCTGGCAAGTTTGTTTCCCAGTGAACACTCACTAACTACATAGCTGCTGATGGTCTGTTTACGCGTTCTGTTAAACCACCACTTACATTCCGTCGCAATCCGCATGGTTCATCTTACCCTCCAAGCCCTAGTCCGATCAGTTCATCATGTGCTTGGTTCGTGATTTTGTAGCATACGGCTCGCGGCATGCGCGCTTGTGGTGCACTCCCCATCGTCTCCCTGTTTGGGTGTTTTTTTAAGGTATTTAGTGATGAGGGTTCCTTATGATACGGTACATCAACAGCCCTTAATTAAGCTGTCCCTCCGATGCCCAATTTTCTTCAGACGTTCAACTGTTTGATACTGTGCCCTGTTGGTTTTGCATCGTCGCCTTGAGTTCGATCGTTTGACTTAGATACTTGTGTTCCGGGACATCAGTAAAACTGCCGTTACTACTACTACCTACCTACTGACCTATCTGATTGGCGGCATCCGGTTTCGGATTTGCCTGTCACTGTGGCCAGTCACAGGACGCCTGCGCCTACAAAGGGACCATGAATGGCTTGCACTGCACCACACACAGTACCAACCACACCCTCCATATCTAGTGTAAACTCGAAGGAATAAGATCGGGAGGCATGTGGATGGGAACCATGTTTCATCAACGGAGCCGGCCCACACTCCTTCACAGGCAAACACAAGCACACTGTATTTGGGAATCAAGCGCACACAAGGCGGTGGCTGGACCGTAGTCCGCTCCACGCTGAGTGCATGGAACCACTCTTCGAGCCTGGCTCGACCACAAGGACCGTGCACCCCGTCCTCTCCAGCAACGACCAATTGTCTCCTGGAGTCTCAGTATGGACGAGGTAGTGGGTAATAGACAGGTAGGCACATTGTCAACATGCACATCAAGCACAGCGACACCAAGAATATCAAGCAACATCCAATCGCTCGAAATAACCTTAACAAATAAAACATATATGTCAAAGCATATGGCTATGCAGACATAACTCTTCGTTAAATTAGCATACGAAGTAAGTTGGTTAGCAACCAATCCACCATAAATTACTCAAAACTACTACAAACGCAATGAAGTTAACGAAGATAACCACACTTAGCGTAAGCTACGTGGCCAGTTAATAGAAGATTAGTCAGGTAGGCAGAACAAACCAAATAAAGTGGAATGCAATTTAGCCAGCTTAAATAGACCTAGTTTAAGTGTAATTTGGTTTAGTCCAACTGCGATGAAGGAGCATCATGAGTGCAACATCAGCCCCAGCATCGGGCACTCCTACCTACCTTCTACTCCATTGCTATCTATACTACTACATACTGCCATCTATTACTACGCCTTTTTGTTCGTGCTACTTGATATACGCTCCGTGCTCTTGACCTATGATCGCCATATGGCTTGGAAGCGTATTACGAGATCGTGGCGATCGGCCATCTTTGGTACCGGCAACAACTTATGTTACAAGGTGACAAGTTGTTTAGCTACAGTCCGTGGAATAATCGTGTTGTATTTGCGAAGAAACAACGTTCAATGCCGATCAAGAAACCTCACCAATGCAATGTGCGGCTAGTCACACACACAGACTCCGTTTGTCTGCGCACATTAGATTCCAGCCGCCGAACTATTGTAGCAGCAGGCGAGCAGTATTGCTCTGTCGGTTAATTTTTGTCCTTAACGATTCGTGGGGATATTGACATGTAGAGCAGTCTAGAGTGTGCTGAACAGTAGAGCTGGCGTGCAGCTGGTGAACCACCGCGACCACATTGCGTGGAATGTACTCCGGAATCCTGATCGATATCCTCCTCTCATTTCGGCCCACCTATTTGCTATCACAGACACAATAAAATAGGCGAACACATGAGATGGTAACTTGGTGGTCTGACTTGTCCAAGTTGGATTTATGTAGGAGTTTCCTGACTTGACACAATAACACAAGTCCGGTCGCGTCATCTGACGGAGACGGTGCTGGGATCGTTTGGTATAGTAAACCCCATTTTTCTTATAAATGTCTGTCAGTCCTTTCTGTCCGCTTCCTGTCCGATACCCACGTTTCGGTGGTCGTGGAACGAAGGCTTTGGCACACGATCACAGGTTTGTTTTTTTTTGTAAGAATGGACGCTCACTCTTTACGTTCCTTGGCTTGTCGATCACAGTGAATTCGTTGATTACGACGTTCGCCGATCTAGCATCTTGCACTACACAATGGTGGTGCACCGTTTACATTTCGAAAGTCCCATTTAACTCTCCTTTGGTGTAATCTTTCATGGCGTAATGTTCAACCTTCATTGCGTACTTACTAGCACATCTGACACACTTGAATTCCCATTTGGAAATGATCTTGTGGAAATCTATGCAGGGATTACACACACGTATACCCCTCATCGACAGGTCGTATTTACGTACAGCATCCGGACTCATTTACTGGAGTACCTAGTCTCCTACTCCGTTCGTACATTCTCTATGGTGTACTTTTCACGCGAGTCTTTCCTCATCTTGTATGTCATTTGTACTCTGCTAACGAAGTCATCCTCTTTGAAATAACCTCGTTTTCCAGACTGTCAAAAAATTTGTTAGATTTTCATATTTTTGAATATTCCCGCTGATTCCACTTCGGCTCGCAAAAACCACATCTCCCATTCACCCGGTTCTGATCGATCTATCATGCTTCACACGTTGAACCTTCAACGTTGCATTACAATAAAGGCAGTCATCAGCAGTACACCTGCACGCCGTACCGACGTTTCGCTGCCGCGCGACGTCCATCAGTCGCACAAGATCTGGGTATATCGAGAAGTCACCCGCGCATATACGGATTCGAATCGGTGACCTCCGGATCACAATTCGAGCGTGCAATCCTTTTGGTCACCGGCCGACTATACTGTATTACAGCTTAATGCTAGCCAGTTTAGTCGTAACAACAAACAAAATCGTGCGTCAGAAGATTTTCTGCCAGACGACTTGTTTTCTCTGATGTTTCGAAGCTTTATGTAGATTGGTGATCATCGCTCTAGAGGATACAACCTGCGAATCGAGGTGATTGTTATTGTTCGATCGTAGGAATCACCACTCGTGATAAAGTATCAGCGTGCTCTGACGATCCTGCATTAAACTCTTGCGGTGTTTCTCTTCACTGTATCTTTGATGCAGGTCGTGTCTTGTTGATTTGTGGTACACTGATAACGAATAGTATGTGTGGAAACGTGGGGACGCAAAGAAAGCAGAGGACTTGTGGATCGCTGCTTACGAAGGAAGCGTAATGCACAAATCAACCAGACTAAGGAGCCTGGTGCAGAAATCTCTCTCTTGCCATTCGGTCGAGCTCCGCAACGTCCGTTCTCTGAGTATCGTTCGCAATCCGGGGCCGATTGGTTATCGTCCGAGATAGACCGTCCGAAAACTGATTCATTAACAGTTGCTGTCTTGATGCGTCGTCTAAATTAGGCAGCGCTCGGTCCAGCAAGTCATTCGGGTGGAAATCGATGATGAACGGGTCCTCTCCCACTTCAAGCCTGGCCACATTGAATCGCCGCATTACACCTTGGCGGTTGGCTGGGCTATCGAACCCCAAAATCAAGGCCTCCTTCGCGACGGCCCATTTCCATTTGACTGGCCTCTTCGATCGCATGCAGAATCACCTTCCCCTGCCTTTAAGGAGACCTCAGGGTAATCACTTTCATTCCCTCCTGTTTCCCTTCAACTGCCTCCGTGAGATATTCGATTTTTTCCAGGAACTTACGCTTCCATCCTCAAGTGTCTCCGGGCAAGCGGTCTCCGTCTTTCTCATCTGGCTGCTCACGGCTCCAAATGTTAAGAATGTACCGCGGCGCAGACGAGTTATGTATCAGATAACCCACATCTAAATATTATAACTTCGAATTTAGAAACTCGGGCTCATTTGCGCACTTCCTTCATGGTACCTTTCTGACTCGCCGTTCCGTTATGCTCCTTCATTCACAACATATCGGTGGAAGCCGATTTCTTCACCACGTATCCTTCATCTGCTTGACTTATGCACTACGCTTCTTTCGTCTGCGGTGACCTACGACTTCTCTCATTCCTTTGCGCCTCCTCGTTTTCGCACATATTACTCGTAGATTTATCGGTAGTTGTTCACTCCTTTGTCACCATGTATGAGTTTGTCGTTTTCGTTTGGCCCAGTTTGCCACACACACACACACACTTCTCGCTGCCTAATGGAATGACGGTCTCATCCATGCTTCCATTCCTTCCAATCAGGTCTGTCTACGCGCTGACTTAAAGCAACATTTACAATTGGCTCACTCTGAATCCTAAACCGGGTCGTTCGCGCTTTCGAATTACCGCTGTGGCCTTATGTGTCCCCCTTGGTACATATCTTCCCCACCCGATTATCAACGTTCGGATAGCGGCCCCTTCGGTCCCTTCGGCGGTACTCACGATTTGCCTTCCGTGAGGAATTGACTTCCTCACCACGTTGAACTCTGACTTGAGCATGTTTTGTCAACTTGCCAACTTCTCTTCCTTGACTGCATGCATGCACATGGGTGAACTGTACTTTGTGATCCACTTGCTCCGGGGTTTTTATGTGAAGAAAGTTAATTGCACTTATACTGTTCAATATTAAACGCGTTCTTCATTCGGTTGTAGCATGTTGGCTACTCTGCGCATTCGATCGGTTGCTGTTTGTCTTCTCATTTGATTTTTCTTTTCGTCTGCTCATTGGATACCTCATTACTCGCGGTTTTCGTTTACTGACGACGTTATGCTTTTATACTGGGTTCAAGACGAACTCGCTCACTCGTTCTATGTTGTTCGGGATTCCACCTTGGTGTTTAAGGATGTACGATCGCTGGCTACCAACGCGAAACCGTTGCATTTTTGACAGACCTAGGCCACTAATTTGAACGTTGCTTACGGCGGTGTCATATAACTTTCTCAAATCATACCACAAAGACTATTTTTAGATGGTTCGCCTTCTCTATGAGTGATTTGTTTAGATCCACATAACTTGAGCTTCGGGTAAGTGTGGAAGACCAGTCGTGCCGTATCTCACATGGTAACCCCATCACAAGTGCCTCTGCTGTATCCATTGACTCAGACTATGTCTCGCGAGAAGAGGGTTGCGAACTCGGACCTCTGTGCCTAGGTAATGCGTTCAGTACAGTTCAGTTGATCGACTGTGGTCCGATCACCGAAGTGCGGTGGATGCAGTTGCCGCGACTCACATCTCTAGGGTAATAATGCCACATCTGCCACAGTCTCCAACCAATAGTGTCGACATCTCTGGGGCACCCATACACCAAAACGACAGGCACTACCCTGACCACTCATCGACTGGCTACTGCGCGGTTTCGCCAAATTGGGTGCACCGATGGCTTATAGTGTACGCCGAGGAACCCGGTCAACGGGCATACGGAGAACATGACTTCGAACTGAGTAGTGCGTACAATCAAGACGAATCAATAAGACGTGAACTGGCCTGACAGCGATTTTCTTGATGTGCGATGGCTGTGTGATTGAGCACCACTATAACAAATCGTTGTTGATCGTTAGTGTCATTTTGCCTTGACACACTAATGAGTCGTAAGCGGTGCGGGCCACTTTCAGGGTGTAATTCCCATTACTACATAAAGTAATTACCATTTCGCACGCAATTAAGTCCCTTCCCTTATGTTAATTGGCATATGCACTAACTGGTGCATGGCTGAAATACACAGCGTGTACTCCTATCATCATCATCATCATCATTATACATGTCAGCTAGAGGTGGTAAAACGCCTCCGCTATTGTACCGCAATACACAAAGGAAATACATACATACATACAATACATAAAGGAAAAATAAATACGGCAGTTGCATGCCAGCTGAGCTACCAGCAACGGATAGGCATCGTTCCGGTGAGCTACCAGCCGGCTACTAGGCAAAAACAAAAAAATTAACTATGTTTTACCTAACGAAATAAGATCGTAGATGGAGGGGTAGGCTAAAGGGATGGGGAGAGACAAAGAAACTCACAGCAGGAACGCCACTGAGGTCGGCACCTTGCCATGTCAGCAAGTGTATCCAGCCAAACTTGTTCACGGTCTTTTGGACCCCAACCATGTAGCCGTGAAGCTCCAACCGAGGCTAGCTCCGAAATGAGGGATTTCATTCCCCTGGACCAAGTCATCGCTTGGCCACCTCGCCTCTTCTTCCACCCACATCCCCGATGAGCAAACAACGCACGTCGCGGGAGTCGATGGGTTGGCATGCGTAACACGTGGCCCAGCCATCGGAGCCTGGTGTACTTCTAACCCAACTTTGAATATCTAAACACAGTGCCAAGCGTTGATCACGAATCTCACTGACCTGTCAATCAAAGCGACAGCCGTTTCCCATTAGGGGTGTTATTTTGAACACCATTTGCGTTGGATTGGTCACGTTTTGCGCATGCCAACTAATCGACTTCCTCGCCGAGCATTATTTGCCATTCCTTGGCGTGAGTGGAGAAAATGCCGGGGTAGACAACCGATGACGTTGATGAGGAGCATCAAGAATGTCACCGCATCAAGATCTGTCGGTCTTCCAGGTTGGGAACCACATGATGGGGGGCACCAAATGGCTGGAAGTTTCGGATATCATGGCTCGTAACCGAAATCAGTGGCGTCGATACTGTTCAAACATTTCTCTTTCATCCACATTTCAATTTTAAACAAAAAGGAACTCATAGAAGCATGTGTGAAATACAAAAAACAAAGAGGAAACAGCTGCTTACCTTTGTTCTTTGAACTATCTTTTTCCATACCATTACATCTGTCTGTTTTCAGACTTGTGAAAAAAGCAACAATAATAATAAGGCCCCGAGTTCAATTTCCAAGTCAGACTACCTTTACCTGATGTGTGGTATGCTAGCACACCAACTCCCGCGACGTGCGTTGTTTGCGCGCCAGGGGTGTGTTTATGTACGAATGGTAGGAGAGGAGGCCAAGCGATGACTTGGTCAAGAGGAATGAAGTCCCTCACTTCCAACTTGGCATCGGTTGCGGTTTCCCGACTGCCGAGCTGCGGACTGAAGGACGACAAACACGTTTGGTTGGATACACTACCTGACATGACGAGTGACCGATCTCAGTGCGTTGGTGCTGTGAGTCTCTTTGTCCCACTCCTCCCCTTTATCTTCCCCCCCCCCCCGACAACGATCTCAAACCCTATGCATAATGTGATATTTGGCATTATGTTACTTTTTTCTCTGTGTTGTTTAATCCATCCTCTTTTTTATTGCAACACATTAGCCGAGGTGTGTTTCTCACTCTTGGCTAACGTGTATTGATAACAATGTGATCTGATGAGTGCAAACGGAGGTCAAACCGATTGTGGGGGGGGTGTCAGTGTCAGTGAGGAGCAGCACAGAAACTCCCTCCGCTGGTGCGTGCCTGTTTGCTGTTTGAATGACCATAAACTAGCGTTGTTGTTTTTATTACCTCTGTTCCACTCCTACTCACTTTGAACAGCCTTTGTAAAGGTGGGTTTCAAAGTGGCGGCTCATTTGATTGTGCACATTTCCAGTGAGGACTAGTTTGTTAACACTCTCTCAGTTTATCTTCTTTTAGCTCTCAAAATGACTGCACGAAAACGGCCGAAATCAATACGAAAGGCTCGGGCTATTGCGATAGCTCGCCAAGAGCGATCGTACAGAGTTAGCCCGCATAGTTTTGTGTTCAGCCGCCCCGGTGTCGGTCCTATGGTCAAACTATTGTCGCTGGATGTTCGCAGCATATTTGAACCGTATACAGCCACTCGCCTCAAAGTACATCGCCGGAACGTCCTGAAAGATTTTGTCGCCGTGGCCGGTCCTCTGCACGTGACACATTTGCTCCAGTTCACTCATCCTCGAGCGGATAAACGCGCTGAAAAGCGAGCTAGACGACTTGCCAGGCTTTCAAACTCCAATGCAGATCTAGCAATTGTCTCGACTACGGATAACAATGGACAAAGTAGGTGAATGTGCTGTACACATTCTCTGTGACAGGATCTTTGTGTTCCACTTGTACAATTTTGCCTCGCCTGCGTACTATTACCGAAACTCACATGTCTATCCAACAATTAACTGCCATCCTTCGAGCATTATACTGCAATCTCTGGGACAGAGTAAAGGTTTACGGTACCTTCTCCTTTTACCTTTCGTCGTTACTAGTGGTGTACGACATAGATACCCCATATCCTCATTTGTGTTCCATTTTGCGTTCGACAATGTCCTCTTTTGCTTTCTGCAACTTCTCCAGCTTCTGATGTAGAATTTCTTCCAGGCAAACGCGCTACTTCTTTGGGCTATGCGGAAGATATTGCATTGTTTGATGACAATCTTCATAGTACTCAGGTCACTGTAAACCACTTGACGATTGAACCTACTAAGTATGGCATGATCTTTGCCCCATCGAAATACAAAATCCCACTCCAGGAGTAACATCCACCTGCGCCTGTGCTAACACTTGAAAGCATGCAGCTTGAACAAGTGGGTAGCTTCTGTCTGGGGAGCTGCATTTCTACGAATGATATCATTGGAAGTGAGATTACTCTTCCTATTACCCGATCTGCGTTCGCTAATCTGAGGTTTACGAACGTGGTGCCTCGACTAGCGACGATTGTGCAGAAAAGCAAAGGTCCTGTGCGTATTTTACAATTTAAGTATTTGTAGACGATCATATCATAAACCATAAACGGTGCATTCCTTGACAGTGCGAGGCACAATCCAACTGAACGGTTTGAGCATTATGTTCAATTGAGATCGCATGGAACAGAATATTTTTTCGTGATTTCCATAGCAGTTCTCAAACTATTTTTGGGGGGAGGGACTGAGTCTTTCAGGAAGATTTACGCGCCGTCAAAAGTACACAATGTAGAGAAATTCAAATGTTCAGATGAAACAATGCAATCATCCATGGAACCTTGCCGTATGGCGATGTGGCTTTAAAGCGGGTAAGCCATCACCTACGTAAGTCATCTTTAGAGCTGATTTTTGTTTATGTAGGATGGATACTCGCCAGCGAATTGCAATGCACCTTGCATGGGTCTAAATATTATCTTGGCAACTTCAAACCGTAACCTCAGGTGATCGATCCAGTCGTGGGCAACCACGAAGTAAGAAGTTTAAACTATGAGGAGGTCAAAGTGTAGCAACAGTAGTGGTAACAAACAAGCAAATAGCATATGTTGCTACAGTGCAAGTAAGGCTGACTGATTTTCGATCAAATTGTACAGCGGAATTGCCGAATACAGATGACTGTTTGGATTGTCGATATGCAAGACAGTTCTGAAAGGAATTTTCATCTTGATCTTTCAGTTGCATGCGTTCGAAAAATACGGTAATTAGTATCGCTGTGCAATGAGGCTTGCTACATGTTCCTGGGCTGTCGCCTTCGAGAAAAAAAAGTAACCTTATGGAAGGAGTGTAAAAAGGAGAATCAAAGGTGAACATATAGAAGACTAACTGCTATCTCGACAGTGCGACACATGGACCACATGGTTATTTCGATCATGGGATTGTCAAAAACAGTTTCTAATAAGTTTGGTAGGAAGTAGGAGTCACGATTAAACTCCACACGAAAATCTGCCTCGACGGGGAATCGAACCCCGGTTTCTAATAAGTCTTTCATCCCAATAGTTCACAAGCTACATAGCAGATCCTAGTCCGGAAAATCACCAGACGCGTTTCGCCCTATTGGGGCTGGTCAGTGGTGCGTATTCCCTCGGTCCTCTAAGGTGGATCGAACCCATGACCGCTAGAGGCAGATGCCAACTAGCCAGCAGCTTAAGCCACTGAGCCATGGGGGACGTTGGCTGGGCTACATAATTTGCAAACTAACTGGGATATAGTACAATCTATTTTCCACTGTCACTGACAGTGGTTAGCCTGCGAGCTGATGACTTCCTCTCGCTAGTCGCTATATCTATAGCATTTGAAACTAGGAGAGGCTAACCACTGTCAGTGACAGTGGAAGATAGATGGTGCTATATCCCAGTTAGTTTGCAAATTATGTAGCCCAGCCAACGTCCCCCATGGCTCCGTGGCGTAAGCTGCTGGCTAGTTGGCATCTGCCTCTAGCGGTCATGGGTTCGATCCTCCTTAGATGACCGAGGGAATGCGCACCACTGACGAGCCCCAATAGGGCGAAACGCGTCTGGTGCTTTTCCGGACTAGGCTCTGCTATGTAGCCTGTGAACTATTGGGGTGAAAGCCTTATCAGAATTACAACTAAAATCCTGCTACTCGCGAGTAATATGAAAACACTTTCTGTTTAAGTTGTTCACAAGAAAGACGTTCATTTCAAATTCTTGGAAGTTACTTGGAAACGATCGAGTAGTCATGAGTTCAGAGAGGTTTGGAAACAATCGGTTTGTTTCCAAAGACGTTCATTGATCCAAACGTTTGAGGAAGGTGGGGTATACAGGAAGTGTTATCGCCGGAGGTTAGTAATCACTCCGTTATTAGTGTGTTGTGTTACCTCCGAACAAAAAAGGAAGTTAGAAATGCGGAAAAATGTTCTTTCACCAGTTAAAAAGAAGGTGTGGTAGAGATGGATTGACCTCGAATCAGAGAATTTATTATCTCTACCGTCTGACGCTCGACTCTTCTTCATATACTCACGTCTAAGTTGAACAAAACACACACACACGTCTCTCACTTCATTCACTGTCAATTTTCTGTTTAGTAGAGTGCGGATAGCCCCTTTGAGTTCACTTTCTTCTATAGTTTGTTTCACTGCGTAGCGATTAGGAAAGAGGCTTGATCTTAAGACAGTACTTTTTTCTCTCGATTGGTAACGTGTTACTTCTATTCATTATACTGTACTTAAGGGTAGGTGGAAATGTATCACCTTGATATCTTAAGTAAAGACACGTTTATTGATCAAGTCAAACATAAATCTCGGGTTGTGTTTTAGTCTCCTTAACGAGACGAGTTTGATCTTCATCTCACAGCACCGGTCGTAGTAAGATTGCCAGTTTCTCATGAGGCGCTTCGTAAAGGAGCGTTGCACATTTTCTATTGCAATTCTGTCACTTTTTATCAGGTTGGAATATATTACTGAACAATATTCTAATAGGGGACGAATACGAGTTTTATCTAGGTAGATTTTAGATTCATTCAAAACAAAAGATTTAAATATTAGCCCTCCTAGTTTATGGGCTTTTGCGATAGCATGCTGCACCTGTTCGGCGAAATTGAAAGAGCCTGAGTATTGCAACCCACGATAATGAATTGTAAGACAGGTGAACACAGTCTTTTGACGTCTGGCGGTATAGAATTTGGCGCAATACTTCAACGATAGCATATGCAGTTGCACTTCTCGGTTTCTTAGTGACTACACCAAGTTTCCAGTTCGTGCTGATCCGCCTGTGTATGTCGGCTAAGGCGTTACTGATACTACTGATATTGCCCGAATCGAACTTTTAAACTAAATCTGGAAATAGAAACCCTGTACTATTTATTTACTAGTGGCTGCTTAAAGGAGAGTGGCAAATTGTGACTTGGTAATCCCCATGCCGAACGAACGTGGTACTTGAGAGTCCTGCAAGTGCAGCTTCTTGCATTGACGAGTTGGGCGCATTGCCTCCGCCATCCACACAACGCTAGCATTTGACGCGATGGTTTCTTCTTCTCACCTCGCATCACGTGGTGCTCACCAAATCCCTTGATGACCTGGACCTAGATTGATCATATTCTCACGTTGGCTACAGATAGGCACACACATCAACTGAACACTGTTCGTCCACTCGAACGATCTGTTTGAATTCCAATCATGCCCCAATGTGTGCGCTTAATAGCACTATCTCATTGAAGCGCGCAAGTTCTTGGCTTTGTAGTCGTCACCAAAACCCACAGTAACATCAGGCCGAGCTGGCTCTTCAACTGCCGAACTAGGTAACTAAACCTGTTGCCACTTGGAATGGTCTCTAATGTATCACGAAGAAGGTATTCGAAGCGAGCTATCCGTCCAACTTGAATCTTCCGAGCTGTGGTTTACTTTTATTATCTAAGTAGGCTTGGTTGGAGTGAGTGTATGCTCCGTCTGGCGTTTCTTTTCAGTTTGTTTTATGTTGATGTTTACTAGCCTCCTGTAAAAGCGCCGGTGCTCAGCTGCCACGCAACCACCAACAGTCGCGCGTGAGCTAGGCATACTGGTCACGCATTCAAGGTCGCCTTCAATTAGTTTGTATAATATCCACGAAAGATGGACAGTTGATCCATTCTCAACCCCGTCGTGGACCGATCTGTCGCCTTAAGGATCACAAACCTCTTTTGTAATCTGAGGGCGCGGATTCGAGCAAGGACCGGGCGACCGTCGCCGTATCCCTACCCCACCTGCGATTGGTGGTGGTTTCGCGACAGCAAAGCGTCGGTACTGCGTACCGGCATACTGCTGGTGCATTTTTTGCGTCTTGGAGACCTTTAGGCAGATCATTCGGATGAGAAATTGTACAAACCAATTGGTGCTCATCTTGAATCGCCCTTGTGTGTGAATGGATTGCTACACCTAATCGCAATTGGGATCACATGCAATGTCGAAGTGGATTTTGGCCATTTCGGTTACTAGAACCGTAGTTAAGGCAGTCAAATGTTGACTCGTTCGCGACACCCACAACTCGGTGATGTGGGGTCCAAAATTCCAATTGGTAGTCACTACTGTACCACAGATTGTGTATTATATATATATATACATATATATATAAATATATATATACATATATATATATATATATATAAATATTTATATACATATATATATATATATACCTCGAGTCGCGATCGGGTAACGCCTAACCTTACCCAACAGACTCAACGCGAATTAGATCGATTGGTTCTACCACACTTCAGTTAAATGGTAGTGCTTGTTTGAACTGGATCACGACGAATGTCATACATTCGCTAAATTAGGCACGCCGGAACATTTGACGTTTTGGCACGTGCTTCGCATTAAACGTTCAAAGTCCCACTGGGTCAGCACAGATAGGCAGACTACTGCTCTGTACCATCTTTTTCGCCAATCATATCAATTTGCTGAACAATGGGGACTTTTCGGCGTCTCTAAACACCAACCCCCATTTTATGCCCCCATTTCGATAGGCAAACCTGTCTCAGAAAGGTGTTGCTTATACCAGGGAACTTGGTCATTAGATTTTTAGCATATCCGAAATGATTTGGAATATTGGTAACGCGGAAGGCTTGTTAAGTTGCTGTAGTGTTCTCCGAGCTGAGCAGATTGGTTGCAAACGTTTCGCCACCATTTGAGGTGGCATCTTCAGTGCAAGATTGGTAACAATCAGGTAGCAGGAGCTGGTAGAATGCAAACCCACTAATGGATCATATCCATTGAGAAGTCCCGGTTTCTCTTATATATTCGCTTCCTCTGCGTCTGTTCACTGTACACTTTCCTTTGTTAGCCATATTCAGCTCATAGGCGTGTAACTGCGGGGTTTCACTCTAGTTCTCACGTTCAATCATTCATGAACCGAAAACCATGTTTACCACTTCTTCCTGGTTCTTTCCCACTGAGGCGACACGTGCGATTCACGTTTGTGACATCTCGGTTGGTAGTATTGATGCCCGTTGGACTGACAGTTGCCGTTGATCACACGACACGACAACAAGAGCAGCACCAGGTCTCCTCTGGTTCATTGGTTAATGGCTTACGTAGTCCATTTATTTGCACTCTGCCTGCATCGTTTGCTCGCATGATGCAAAACTGGCACCGTAGATGTGATCGGCTACTCGACGAATTCATTGTTCGTGTTTACCAAACCAAACTTCAGTTGTGGTTTTAGTGATCGTCGGTACAAATCTAACATTATCTGGTTTGTCCGTCCTCGCTTTCCCCTCAATTTTCTTGTATTTTACTTTTAATTACATCCGAATCAGAAGCATATGCGTTCATTTGTTCGGTACTTACGTCCATTGTGTCACTCTGAACGCGTTGTCTTCACACACACACAGGCACCCAGATCCCAGATTGTGATGCCACCCCAACCGACGAGTTTGGCAAGCGTGCGAAAGATGGCGTGTACATGCATCTGGTTCGAGTTCCTCACGGTCCCAGTCTGACCTTCTCCGTCTCCGAGTATTGTTTGCAGCGCGATGTGCTCACATTGGTTCGGCGCATTTTTGATTCCCATCAGTTCTCGACGCCTCCGCTGTTGGCAATGACTGGGTTTGGGTCACTTTCCGCCACTGCAGATAGCAAAAAGTCAGCTCAGCCACCGCCACCACATCTCCGACTCATCGTTGACATGTTCCAAAACATGCTGCCTCCTCTCAATGTTCAAAAGGTAATCGTTCTTACTCCATTGATCTCCAAGAAATTTGAAGTCCATCTAATCCTAACTGTCATTTATAAACGAGTTGTTGAAAAGAAAGTAGCAGATTTAGATAAATTTCCACCACTCCTCTAATTCATGACTTCATATACATAAAAAGCATGACGACTTCAACCGGGTTGCAACAAGCTGACGCACACAACACACACACACAACACACACACACACGCACACAACACATCCACTAACCCCAGTCACGTGAATCACTCCCCAATTTCTAGTTTTGCTCTCTCTCTCTCTCTCAACGTTTTTCGTGATCAGTTTTCCTTCCATTCGAATCCCACATGCAGTCGATGAGATCCTGCTGACATGTTTATCGCTAACCTCATGTCAATTGCTGTTGTATCTCGCAAGTATTATGACGAGTAGCATGAGAAGCTGATTTTGTGGTATGCTGTTTTTATTAAAATTTGCATTTATTCCGTTCTATTGCTGCCTAGCTTCCATCACTTGTTAAACGTCATCCTGCCTCACCTGACTCGATTGAGCAGATTCTTCAGCCAGTGCCTCTTGAAAGTAAACTTCATATGCATGTACCAGACGGAAGACTCTGGACTGAGTTGCCTTGGTGCAATTGTGGCTCGTTATCTCAATAAGTCTGTGTGGTTTCCACGCCCTCCTGCCCTTATTTTTTCAATCTAGCTCATGCATCATTTCTTGTTCAGATTTAAACGTGGCATATCGAAATTTCCTCTCCATTCTTATTGGATTGCTATGCTGGTTAGATATGCTAGCTGACATGGCGAGTAACCGACCTCAGTGGCGTTTGTGTTGTGAGTCTTTATCCCTCCCCTCCCCTATTGCTTCCCCCTCCAACAACGATCTCAACCCAATGCATAATGTGATTTCATCATTACGTTTATTTTTTTAGCTTTTTTAATCTGTATCGTTCAACCTTTTCTCCTTTTCGTATTGCGGCACATTTGCTGAGGTGCGTGTATTGATCATGATGATGATTGCTGGCTGCAGAAGTTCGGTCGGGGGACACCGACCAATCATCTATCACGAAACATTTCGTGACGAGTGGTCATCACATGGACATATCGACCGCTTTCAAAATACTCCTACGGGATAAGAATCCAAAACGGTTAACTATAGGCGAAGCACTGTTGATCTTACTTACTTTACTTTACTGCGGCTAGCTCCTGCGACAGGATGAACCGGCTTCATGAATGTCGCGAATTGCAGCTGCCCAAGCGCGGCGGTCGACGGCAAGCTCCACGCAGATACTGATCCAATGATTTCTCCAGTGGCGAGCACCATGGAGTCCCGGAAGCTCGACATCCGATTTCACTGCAGTGAGCCGCATGTTCAGTTGACCACCACGGCGACGACACCAGCCCTGGCAAAGCGAGGATGAAACCGCGGTCCTAGTGAAGTCAGTGTTTGGTCTGCGGAGGATTTGACCGAACCAATGAAGTCTGCGGCGTTGGATGAGCGTTGTGACCTTCAGAAGACGGTAACAGTGCTTACGGATTTCATCATTGGTGATACGCTCATGCCACTGCGTTTTCAAGATAAGCCTTAGACACTAATGGTCGAAGACTTCCAGCTTCCGGTTGTCTTCGGATCGCAACGGCCATGTTTCTCAACCATAGAGTAAAATGGCGCGAATGGTTACTGAGAATACTCGGATCTTCGTTGTCAGACTAATTTCCGTCCTTCGCCACGAAATGTTTCTCAGTTGTAAGTAGGCTGTTCTAGCGCTGTTAATACGATTCGGGATTTCAGATATAGCCTGACCATTGGAGAGTATGGCGGATCCAAGGGAACAGATTCGATGAGTTGTCCATGTAAGGAGAGCGACGATGATTTCATAAAATGAGAATTAGAGTTTTTCCTGGAGGTTTTGTTAAAGAAAACGAAAAATAATGCACTGATTCAATACTTTAAATCATATTTTTTAACCTTTCCTTAAAGCACTGACAGAATGGTTTAATATCCCCTCTATTCTGATGTCCGTGCTACGGCTTCCGAGGCCAAACGAAGCTATCTTATATTCCCCAGGACTGTTTTATCTCTCTTTTCGATTTTGTGATCGAAATAAGCATGATTGACACCATCCTCTCACTTATTCCGAAGTGGACTTTCCACCAGGTGACCGACTGACAGAACTTGAGTATACGAACGGCACAGCACTCCTTTGGTTGGACGCAGTGGCTAGATAAGCACTACGTAGACTGACGTGTGGCGCTGCACGTTTTCGCATGTGCTTTTCACATTTACGATGCAAATTGATGTTTTAGGATTTGTCCGGAACTTCACCGGTTCAATCTGCGAACAACCTGTGGTCGATCAGGATCAGGCCCTGGAACCCGAATGTCGCCGGTTCGAATCTGCGTAGTTCGGGCGACTTTGCAGTGTGCACAACGCGCGCAACTGCTGGTGGTTGCGCGGCAACAGAGTGTCAGTACGGCGTACTACTGCGTGTTGGGCAAGGCGGGCCTTCCAAACTGTGAGCTTGTTTTGCTGCACAATTTGAGATGGTCTGAGCACGATCTGCGCAATGCCTAGCGAGCGTTTATCACGCCGCACTCTGTTTATGTCCACATCGGAACAGGCCGTGGGGTAGATAGCCGACCATTTAGTGACAAAGCATGAAATCATTGACATCTAGCTTAGCCATAGCTGTCTTCGCATGTCTTCCAGTTGGAGATCCAAAAACGAAGAACGTCAGTGGCCTTCAGTGCCCAAAACCGGTTGCAATGGAAACAATATGCATGAGTACTCGATTCACAAAGCATTCACTTTTGGAAAAATGAAAAAAGTGCAGCCTGTTTGCTTCTCTTCATTGTTGATTATTTTTTACTTTAGCATATGTTACTGGATCCCAAATTATATGGTTTTGTGTGACTTACTGTCCACATACAGTATGTCCGAAAAGTCATGACACATGGTAAAGTTTTTCTCAAAAACATTTTCAATACAATTTTCATCATATGCAACGCAAACGGTGATGTGTTTCGCAGAATTTCCGTGAGCTTGCTTCAATAAATCTACATTGCCGTCAATTTTGTTTTATTCACTCATTATTCTTTGAGTCAATTGCACAGGGTCTGGGAATTTTGTTGTGTACACCTTATTCTTTAGCATGCTTCATATAAGGAAATCAAGAGCATCAAAGTCTGGTGAACGTGGGGGACCATTTCACATGACCACGTCTTCCCATTCCACTAGGGAAAATGTCATTCGACCAATCTCTTTCATTCGTAACTTAATGGGCAGTAGCGCATCTTGTTGGAACAACTCAGGAAGTCCTTCACCAAGTCTTAGGCGTTGATTCAATAACTGATCTTTCAGCAAAGCAAAAGAAGTGTTCCCCGTCAAGTGCTCATCGAAAGCGAATGGTCCAAGCACGTAACTTTTCCACGAACAGCATCAAACCATAACTTTGGTTGAAATAATCAGCAAAATGCGGATTTTGTTGCGACCATTTTGGAAACATTTTGTCTCTACACCTCACCATTCACATAAAACAAAGCTTCACAGCTAAGCGGAACCCAGTCTTCTGTGAAATGGGTGTTTTCAACCAGTGTTTTAAGAAGACTTTTCACACTTTTCGATTTGTAGCCACCTTCGAAAGATCAATTTAAATTCTCCTTGAATGATGTACATTGAATTCGTCTACTATCCTTTGATATGACCTTCATTTACGGCTACCTAAAAGTACCAGCTCAACTCGTTCTGTTTTGACGGCGATGTTTTTTCTGTCGAGGCAAAAGACGATACTAATTCTTTCTATTTCCTTTTATTTTATGAAAAATATCCTATTATCCTACTCATGTGCCAAATTTTTACTCTTCAATCAGCTGAAACTGAGCACTGTTCGGCGAGTAGTGCTTATCAGTCGCGAGGTGGACATGTCCTGTCCTCCAGACGAACAGGATTTCAATGATGTGATCTATCTGCGACATTATCACATACGCACCGAAAATCGTACCATCAGTCGTGCGTTGCGCAAATTAAGTGTGGGGTGCTCACGATCAAAGCGACGCAGAATGAATCTGTCGGATCCGAATGCACGCCCTATCGGTACTGGGATGGGACCGGGAGGTTCCGGAAAGTCTTCCGGCGTGCCGTCACTAGCGAAATACGCCTGTATAGAGGATTTTCTCACCAAGTCAGTCACCTCGCTTGCCTATCGTGCCGCGCGGGTATTTTTCTTCTCTACATATCTTCATAATAGTTTGTTTGATACATGCGCTATACCCATCTCGATGATTAGCTCTATCTAGCATACACATAGGCTTTCGAATCGCAACTGAGGCCGATGTTACCTTCGGGATGCTTTCTCATCGCAGTTAGGCCAAATCAAATTACACTTAAACTAGGTCTTTTTAAGCTGGATAAATTTCATTCCACTTTAATTGGTTTGTTCTCTCTATCTGAATAACTTCTATTAACTCGCATGCGTTGCTTACGCTAATTGTGCTTATCTTAATTTTATTGCGTTTGTAGCAGTTATTGAATAACTTCTGGACATTTTGTACTTATCGCGGCTTCATTGCTAACCAACTTACTTTGTATGCTAATTTAATGAAGGGCTATGTTTACATACCTGTACGCTTTAGCAGATGTTTTATTTGTTAATGTTATTTCAAGTGATTAGCTGTTATTTGACATCCACGGTGTGGCTGCTGTTGATGTGCATGTTGACAAGGTGTCTATCTGTCTAGTACCCTCTACCTCGTCCATACCGGCTCTAGGAGATAGTTGGTCGTTGCTGGAGGAGACGGGGGTGCACGATCCTTGTGGCCGTGTTAAGATCAAAGAGTGGTTCTGTTAATGGGACGGAACCAGCCAATGAGAGCGTTTTACGCTGAGGGCTATTGATTTGGCCATAAATTGAATGTACCGTTAGTTGGACGTTAAGTAAATATACTTGCCAGCCGTACGCCGGTCTCCTGCTTTGGGAATTCGGGCTGATCAGAGTGCACGCTAGCAGCAGGTCATCGGTAGGTCAGCCGAAACCATAACAGGTTCCATGCACTCATTGTGGAGCAGACTACGGTCTAGCCACCGCCTTGTGTGAGCTTGATTTCCCAAATACAGCGTGGTTGTGTTTGCTGTGAAGGAGTGTGGGCCGGATCCGTTGATGAAATGTGTCTCCCATCCACATGCCTCCCGGTCTTATTCCTTCGGGTTTACACTGGATATGGGGTGTGTGGTTGGAGCTGTGGGTGGTGCAGCGCAAACCACCCATGGTACCTCTGTAGGCGCGTAGGCGTCCTGTGGCTGACCACAGTGAAATGCAAATCCGAAACCAGATGTCGCCAACCAAATGATATCTAAGTTCTGTTCTTCAGGGTGGCAGAGCACAAGTCATAAGGCGTATAAATGCGTTGCATGTCAGCATGTCATGCGAAGTTGAGTTGTTCTCATAAGTCGTAGCGAAAACGGACACCTAAAACGTCTGTCCACCAAAAAAACAACGTTGTCTGGCCAGTATCTGCATTTTACAAGCTTCAAGCCAATGCAATAAGAGCGTTCACCTTGGAAGGCGAATATGTTCGACAGGTTGTCTGGTCGATTAACTAGAACTGATTATTAACACGCTAACCATTGATCCGCATCCTTGGAGATTCATCTAGAAATGCAGCTAACTCAGCGAAATGTCAAGTGCAGTATCTGCCGTACCTAATGGAAAGGTATTGTTAGAGCTTCCCTTTACGAGTGACATTGCCACACTGAAGCCTCTAAAGCATCCGATCTCTGTCACACAGACCGCTTTCTTTGCTGTTAAAGTTGCGTTCATCGACCGAACGCATAAGCTGTCACTGCGTCCACTGAAGGAAACTCTGCCCGTTCGGGGTCAACTCCCGTTGCGCAGGGTAATTTGTTTCCGCATTCATTATCATCATTCCACGTTAGCTGATAGGGAGAAGGACACTTCAACCAGTGCGCCGCAATACAAAAAGCTGGGATATAGGTGAACAAACAAGATACATCACATTGCAAAAAAACAGAAAAACGAAAATCAAGTTATATGATGTGAAGTGTCATTTTATCCAGCCACTGGTCTTATCTTCTTGCGCCATAAACACGACAGCTAAGTTGTTCATTGCTCACGTACGGCGCTCCTAACTGGATATGAGCTAAAATGAGGCTGAACCTTAACGCGGTGCGGTGGTTTGCGTGCCTCAGCGATCCATTGAGCTACGCTGGGTGGTGCTTTTTTGCATCTTCAGAGCCACTCATACTAGATCGGTCAATGGTTAGAGGCCAGGCAAACAGCCTCCTGGTCCTCTAGGTGGGGGTTGGAGTGAGGGTGGCTAGTTATTCCTTAAAATCGACTCCTTGAGGTCTACCAAAGACGGTAACTTTACCAGGCAATTCCCAAGATGGAGAATGACGCTATCTACTTTTGGATTCCCACCAACTATTTGCTTATCCATTCTACGCCCCATGGTTATTTGCCCTCTCGACATAAGTGTTATGTAATGCACGATGTAATTCCTGACTCCTACCACCTATTCGCTCACCCAGTTTATGCGCCATGGTTAAATGCCAATCGACATAACTATTATGTAATTAGCAAGCCGAATGTTGGGAACTCACTCTGGATGACCAAAGCAGACGCCTGCCCCAGTGATGAGTGCCGGCTTATCGATTATCCCCCATGTGATACCATATCGATGTTGCCATGACTTCACTTTAACTCTCACTGTGGAAACCGTTCGTTCACACTGTGCAGCCCGTCTGTAATAGGCGCCTGATTGGTCACTTGAACGTTCAATGGATAGTTGCAGAGTGGACGCGATTACGGGCTAACTATTTCCTGATTGGCTGACCAATCTGCTTCCGGCAACACGCTCACTCCTGATCGTGCTCCTCCCCCGTTGCGCCAAAAATCAAAACGTGGTCTGCTACACAGAGCGTTCCTGATCAATCGTCTAAAGTCTGCACCAGCCGTTTCTGGAATATCTCGCTAGATACCTTCAGCCAGCCAGCGGAAACGCCCGAAAGTTGTCCCAAACTTGGTCAGGTAGCTTGACTCTTGGTCAAGCAGAAGTGACGTCGACTTTAGTGAATATCTTAGCTCTGGATAGCACCGGAAGTACATCGTCTAGCGTCGGTAGCGTGTAATGCTCCCTCCTGAGTGAGTTGTTTTTGGATCAATGCACGAGCGTAGTTCTCCAGATTTTTTAGTAACGATCGCCACCCAGCTAACCAAATCTGCCGGCTCCTCAACTTTGGCTATTACACCCTTTCTGGTCGACAACACTATCGGCTTAGCGGATTCGATTAAAGATATATGAGCATACCCTTTGTATCTCCCTAACATCCCGTCAAACAAGCTTGGGTAGCTGTCAACTATATATATGTTCACTTCACACGAATGGATGAAACTGTCATGGTTAAACGAGACAAAGGCGAGACTCTGAATAGAATCAATACCCAAACTGGGTATAAGATCTCCTGAGACTATTAGAAAATCGAGTTGGTGTTTTGTGCCGTTTTTCGGATTGATGGCCTTCAATGTGGCGGTACCTTTCGGCGGCAGCTTTGAACCATTCCACATTCGGAGACAATTCTGCGTCCTGTCACATGTCATTCCCACATAGTGCTTCTCAGGTAGGATGTTGAGAGTAGCCCCTGAGTCCAGTTGGAAGCGCACCGGTCGTCCTCGAATCAAAAGCGTCGCGAAAACACGCTTGTGTTCTCCACGATTTTCCAAGTTGCTTATCGAGAATTTTGTAGCTGTTCGTTGATGCTCTGGACTACTGGGCTAGCCTTAGCGGATCTGCAACAGAGAACAAAATGGTTCTTCTTTGACCATTTTATGCACGTTCTACCCCAAGCTGGGAAGCTCTCCTTTCTTCTTGGAAGTATACGACCGCAAAACTGACAACTCGGACGCTGTCCTTCGGGTGTCTGGGCGAACTATTGCTGGTTCGGGATACCGCGCACAGACCGGTGTTTGTTTCGGCTCTCACATGCTCGAACTGCTGCGCCGTCCTTGCTTCACTCGAGCAGACGTTCACACATTGTTCCAAAGACAGGTTCCTTTGTCTCAGAAGGAGCCGAGTGAGCTCATCATTCTTAATGCCAATGACAATACGATCACGTATCAAGGAGTCTCGCATGCAGTTACAGAAGTTGCAGTTACGCGCCTACAGTTTCAGTTCTGTTATTTAAGTCTCGAACGATTCGCTTGGGTATCGATCGCGAACAGCTAATAAATACCTCTGATACGTTTCATTTACCTGTCCTTCGCAAAATGCCCCGAATCTTAGCACTTCCGAAAGTCCGACTTCCTCATCTGCCTCACTGAACTCCAATGTTTCGAGCACCCTCCTGGCTTCATCACATACAGTGTGCCTAAACATCCCCAACTGGTACGCCATTGGTTGAATATCCAACTGAGTCAGGGTGACGAAATATCTCCACTTCGCCTTCCACATTCTCCAGTTCTCTGGCAGCATGCTTTCAGTCATCTGCAGAGCGGTCCTCAGTGTGATCGACTGCTGTCCACCAAAAAGCAGTGGGTTCCGGCGCGTCAGATTCTCCTCTGTCGCCATGTCGTGTAGCCCTCCGGGAAGCAAGAAGACAGGGCCGCGATCACGAAGTCATTTATTAAGACTAGACCCGAATATTCCTAGTTTATATACACTATTTACAACAGTCCGCCTCAATGGCTCATCCCTGTTATTTGCATTGTGTCGCTGGCTCCCTTTCCATTGGTTTATGCTTGCTTGCGACGTTCACTCTGTATAAATCACCTTGATTTGCATAGTGGATGTACGATTTGCGGGATTGCGCCCGCGTGCTTCTTCCCTCGGTCCAATGCCACAAGCCTTGGCTCAAGGTTGCACGAGTGTGCGCTCGTTCGCCTGCTAGCGCCTGATTGGTCATTTGCACGTTCAGTGGATAGTTGCAGGCTGGACGTGATTACCGGCCAATTATTTCCTAATTGGTTGACCAATCTGCTTCCGGCAACACGCCCACTCCTCATCGGTCTGGCCTGTGATGTTCGATCGGCATTACAACATTTCCAATCGTCAGCATTTCCAGCCCCCATCACAACCAGTTCCCTTGAGAAACTTCAACAAGGCAAGAACAAACAGCATTTCGCGAGATAACCTGAATTCAGTGTATGTCGTGTATTCCGAATCGGTC